GGAATACTATTTCCGAGTAATAAATTTTTGTTCCGTTCTGGGAATACCACTTGAGGGTGGGTGTCAGAAGAGTAATATATTCACATCCACACCCTCAAAATAAAAAGAAAAATTGTTATTCTCTCACTTCTTTATTTAAAAAATTAATCGAAGAGAAACTTTGCATACAATTGTTGTTAAAAGATAAAAACAGCAAACATTATTTGCACACAACCATGCCTACCTGCATTAAATGTCAAGTCTTGACAAGCACAAGCAAACATTGTCCCCATTGTCGAATTTGCTATTGTTCAAAAGCATGCCGTTCGGCGGATTGGTCTCGTCACAAGGTAGAATGTATCAGTGGAGAAAGAGTTAGTTCAGACTCTACCTCATCGAATATGGCATCTTCTAATACTTCATTAGGTAAGAAGCGTGAACTACCTTCATTTTGTGATGAATAGAGGTATATGTATTCAAATAAGCTGTTCGAACATCATATGCGTTTAGCTAATCTTCGAATGCTGATTCATGGATAACTAAATTTTCTCTGAGTTATGAGTGAACTATTACGTGATCTATGCCGAGTATCAGAATGTGGACTCAAATAATTCGGTATTGTTTTATATGATCCGTACGATCAACTAACTGTGACTTGAGGGTGTGGTGTGAGTGTGATCTACGAAGAAAATAATACCTACACCCATCCTGTCGTTCATTGCTTTCAGTTAATCATGGTCCTGCTAACAGACTTTTTCTGAAGCCATTATCTCTGCCCTGTATAATTGTGTAAATATTTGATATTTTTATTTAGAACTTCAAGAATTTGCCACACCTAGCTCATGCAAGAAACTGTTTTGTGGCGGGCGTCTCTGCGCTAAATGTCACAAGTGCCGTGATTGGCATTTTAGTGGTAATCAGCATACTTGGAATTGGGTCTGTAATTGGAAAAATTGGAATGAAGCGGATAAAGATCGTTGGTACGATGACTATGACAAACTTTTTTCCAAGCGCGATAGTGCAACGTGTGATGGTCGTTCTGCTTTTGATGGCGGTGCTGGTTTGGGTAGTCTTTGTGGTGGTGATGCTAGACTTGGCCGTACGATTGCTGGTGCTGGTCTAGCTAGTGGCGGTCTCGGTCCTTCTGGATTTGGTCGTGCTTTTGGGGGTTCTCTTATTTTTATTCGAGGTGATGATCTTGATGGTCACTTATGTTTGTGTGAGAAACATTAGTAAACTTGCATTCAACTGACTTTTTTTGAGGGATCCTACTATATATTATGTGCTTCAGATCTTTTCTTAACATAATAAAAATTGAAGACATGAAAAAAAGGGTCTTCAACCACGCCCAGAGATAGTATGCGCGAGTGTGGTGTGGGTGGGTGTGAGTGTGTTCTTTTAATTATATCTACAATTACGCCTTCGAAAAGACAAGTGGATGCTTGTGAAAAAAGATGAGACAAGTCATACGTAGTGATTTTAGTTGATTATAAAGCAATTATTATTATGCCTTTGTCATATGTGTCTTGCTAACAGTTTTTCTCTCCGAAGTGTAGAAGGTACCTGATTCACGGATTTTAGGCAAAGTTGAATGAAGTTTATATCATATCAATATTGAAAGAGTGGCAAGCAAAGTGAACAGCCTAAGTTGGCAAGAATTCTGTTTTCTTTTCAACTGATAATAGTATTATTTATCTTGAGAGCATTTCTTCTCTGCCCATAAGAGATAAGAACAAAGCTTCATATACACGTCCCAGGCAATGTTGTATTATAGAACGAAGCTTCAAAAATATCCATCCTCACTTTCTGCTTTGCGATAATAAATAGTGCTTTTATTTAGTCAAGAAACTTTTAAAAAGGATCAAGCTTTTATAGCTCTTGTCACAAAATTAGATCGAGTGGGTGCGGGTGTAAATTAAAATGTGAATATGGTTGGCTGTGCTTCCTTCATACATCTACACCCACACCCACATCCACACCCTTTTTAGAATCCGACTGTCGGACTTGGCAGTCATTTCTTGGCCTGAAATCCCATCGAATATTATCGACCTGTTTGATCTCACAAAATCCAGTAGAAACCGATATCGGATTGATAGGCCTAGACGTATGAACCGTTGATTATTATTATTTGAGAATAGTGTAACAATTCGAGTCAATTCTTTTCTTTATTTTATAATTTATTATGATGAAGACGAATGTCCATTGTCACTTCATTCTTGAAAAGAATCTTACTGCGAGCGATGAGGGTATACTATTGCCGTTAGCATATTGATTCGTCACCAAACGAAATTTTAATTTATTTTTCACTGCATCTTGAAGTTTTTTTGTACCAACATCCGATAGACTGCAGCTCTGTATATTGAGTTCTTCTAATGTGCTGTTGAGTTTGAACATTTGAATAAAACTATCTACACTCGAATCACTCAGCCCTGGATTTGATGCTAGAGACAACTCTTTGAGACTTGTGTTATAGTAAGAGAGTGCATAAGTTACGAAACTCACTCCTAACTCACTTATTCCGTTTCTATCTAATCCCAGACATATTAACATTCTATTTGTTTTGAGCATTTCTGCCAAATATTCTACAGCTTCATCTGTAATATTAATACAATGCAGAATCAGTATACGAATATTTGAATTGTTGATCGAATGTGCTATAAAACGAATGCCAATTTCACACACAGGGTTTTGCGAAAGATTTAATTTCTGTAAGCTGTTGTTGTTGTACAATGCGTTGGCTAGAATCGACACACCTTGAGACGTGATATTATTGCTGCCTAGATCTAATAAAATACATTGTTTATAAATAATAGCTTGTTTGACGACAATATGCATGTCTCGATCAAATAATCTTCGTTTGCACAAAAACACTTCTGAAGCGTGATCACATTTTGAAATTTTTTCTTCAAGTTTAAGATTTCTGTATTCTTGCATCTTCAACGCCTTGTCGCGCCATTGCATACTTATATTGTATTTACCTTGTTGAGAAAGAACTGTGGCTAACTCGTTGCATATAGTCTTCTGCGACGGATCATTTGAACAAGTAGTACGTTGTAAACGGTGATAGTATTTCTCAGCTAAATCAAATTTGCCCATTTCCCACAATAATCTGGCAAATGAATGTAGACTTCTCTCTCCAATACCATTCAGATACCTCATTCCGATCAAGACTTGATCTAAACTATGTTTGCCATTTCCACAAAATTCCATTTCAATGGTCCAGATTTTATTGTCACCATAAAAAATACGATCAACACGAAAAATAGAACCCACCATAAAAAGCACTTCCGATTCATCACGAAAACTGCTAAAAGGAGTAATATTCGCAAATGGCTTCTCCGTATTTACATTCGAGTCAGCATCAATGACAAACAGTACTGGTTCGAAATTGTCTACTGACATATCATTGTGTGAATAACAATTAGCTACTGTAGGATCTATACTTGTGGAAAAAAATGAATTTATCGATATAAACGAGCCTTTGTTTCCTTTAAGACTGTTTAGCTCATTTTTTGACATGCATTGACATCGATACACACGTACTGATGACTCTGCTTGGTAACATTGCAATTTTCGATAAATAGCGTAAATAAAGGAACGAAGAAGAAAGAGTAACTCAATGTCCTGTGCGCGTAATGCTTTGTTCAGAATCTTGTAGAAGAAAGACTCACGAGTGTACCAACTTAACACATCGTCAGATGTATAGTTTTGTTGAAATTTATGGATAATAGATAGTTGACTTGCATTGTCTTTATATTTTTCCTGGCAAAAAGATATAAATTCGTTCATGTCACTTTCATCGCAACTCATTCGAAGAAGACAGTCTATAAGCAATTGGAAAAACACAAACTGGCCATTGATTTCTGTCGTTGATTTCTCTACACTGCTATCAGTAGTAAATATACTGATAGGTAAATGTTCTTGCACTAGATCCCGTACCTGTTGATCCATTTGTATTCTCTCGATTAGTTTGTCCAGTTGACCGGTGACTATCTTGATCTATGCCAGAGGTGGACAAGTTAGAATTTTTGGGTGTGAGTGGGAGAAGGTGTGTAGAGGGTGTGGGTGTGAACGTAGATGTTTCATCTGCATTGGCACCAACACCACACCCGCACACCCACGCTCACCCTCAAGATTTGACTTGGGCAGCTCAGATCTATACAATTCAGGTATTGACATCAAACTCCCGAGTTATATTTACCTTGATAAATGGCTTAGTCCATTCTGTATTGCTTTTGGTGTCGACCGGATAGACATGAATAGATGAAACTTGTTGTAAGTGGTGAACATGAAAAATGACTATTTGGCCTAACTGATCGTTAACAATGAGTACAAGCTGCTTTTCTTTGGACATTTGTTGAATATAAGTAATGCATTGAAGTGCATCTTCAAATTGTTTATAATCACTAAGAATAGAACGCATTTTTTTCTGCATAATTCGATTTCCTTCGCTATTATTATGCGTATCATCAAGCCAGATAATACTCAATTTTTTCAGATTTTCGTTGTCTGCAGGTCGATCGTCATCACATACGACACCAGTAGCCATATTATCTACATAGTCACATTGAGAGTTTTAAGTATTCGCTAAATAATACCCCCGAAAAGATTGTTCTACATCTTGAGGGTGTGGGCGTGGGTAGGTATGATTTGAATCCAAACAGTTTGAATTTGGTGAGTCTGGTTGTATGAATTTAGGTTTGGGTTTGAGTATTGAGTTTGGGAAATGAGTAGGGGTATGAATTTGTGTTCAGATATGGCTGTAACTTAGGCACCAAAACTTTCGAAGCCTTACTCAAATTGATACTTGAATCTAAATCCAAATCCTAACTCCTAAACGATTTGGATTTGAGTCGTGCCTAGGTGTGGGTGGGATCTGCGTGAGCATATGGTTATGGATGTCGTGGATGTGGATATGGCCGAGGGTGAGAATGCGATGGTTGTGGGTGTTAATCACATATGACATACCCCCATTCACTGAGACCACTACACCTATACCCTCACTCTCACACATCTTCACCTACACCCTCAAGATGGATACACTTAGGCATACGGACCAGTCGCAATGGGTGTCCAGGGTATTGCTAGTATGAGATCTATGGATAGTTCGTAAAAAATTTAAAATATTATCTCCTTCCAGTCGAATCTCCTAGTGCTGAAAGATATTTTTATTAGTACTAATCATGAACAAGAGCTAATTGTAGGAAAATAATAAGGTAATCAGATACCGACCGTGATTAAAAATAAACTATTCAATTCGCTTTAATGCTGAACTCAAACTAAACTCATTAGTCCCCACTTGCGAAACTGAAAAGATTGGGGTTTTGGTTATATCTACCTTCAGACAAATAAAAACAGCAGAAGATACCTTGAAAATAAACATTTATAATAATACAGAAGGAATTCAATACACATCAGCATTTTTTTAAAATCAAACGGGAAACTTACTTGTCATTTACAGTGCTGATGTATTTCAGTTAGATCGTTTGAAGTATATATAACAAAAATATTAATGCTTGCTAACAATCTTTGTGTAGAACAAAATGATAACAACCGAAATCTTTTTTATATAATATCCAACGTATTGAAGTCTAACACACATGAGTGTCAATATATACTCGGTTTCTTATCTACAAGTCTATGTTGAAAACTAACACCAATTAAAAAAAAGAAAAAAAGCTTTCTTTCTTGCGTCTATCAGAAGTTACATAAAAAATACGAAGTACAGTCATTTGGTCGTTGGCAGTTACATTTTCAAATTATGCACGAAATTATCAAATAATACTATATAAAAGACATGAAATGGGTGTGGTTAAGGGGCCGGCCTACGTATTCCGCCAATCTTTGATCGAAATCCACACGCACACACCTTGAATATTCAATCTAAAATGTACTTTGAAATGCCTTAATTCTAATATGATGATCATTCATGTTCGAACGTCAACATACAAAATTAAACTTATCAAAGTGAAAGAGATTAATTTAAAATCAAAAATGTAACAATCATAAGTAGTAACAATCGATTGAACTGAAAAGAGAATTATTTGAACATTAAGACAGATAAAAATTTAGTGACATATTTCCGCGGGTAATTTTCAACTAACATTGTTAATGACGATATTCTATGTCGAAAATTCGCTTCTGTTTCACGTAAGCGCATTGTAACGTTTAACAAAAAAAAACAGAACAGAAGAAGAAGACACTTGATTAATTTATTTGTTCATACTACTTTCTAATGATGTTGAAAGAGAAAAACAAACGAATTATTATTTTATATAATATTGAGATGTCATACTATTGTAGAAATCTTATAAATCATAGATTGTTTTGTTCGAACAAAAAAAAGTAACAGTGATTCAGAGAATAAAGATTGAGATCATTATTCACAAGAATACTATCATACTATATTTCGAAACTTTTTTTCTTGAAAAAAACCTTCATTATTCTTTTAATTTTGAAAAGGATCATTTTTTGAGTTACTTGGATGCGTCTGATAAAAGGCTGTTTTCAGTGGTAGCTAGAGTGTGGGTGCAGATAAGGATGGTTATAAAGAATAAATAGAATATCTACACCTACACCCTCTTTTTATCGTTTCATGTGTGTACAATACAAAATAATAACAATATATAAATGCAACCTTTCTAGTTCTTTCATTTATTAAACAACTAATGAATTGAAAAAAAGTCTTATGAATGCTTCAAGAAAGTGATAGAATTGAAAACCGAAATACTATATATAGTAATGATCGATAGAGAAAAAAGTATTTTTTTTATTATCGATAGTGTATAGGCAAATAATGGAGATGAAAGCAATCAATTCTCAATCGAGTGACTGGTCAGTAGAACATACTGATACTTCTCAATATCAGCATTTACCTAGGACAAATACCAGCATGACCACATCATGTATTCATGAGAATCAGAATAATTCAGAAAACTATAAGCAACACAGGTAATTTTATTTTCAATGATTACTTATATCATTATCATTATCATCGTTGCATAGATTCACATTAAACTATAAAGCGTGTCAATGTTGCTCTACGGTGTCACCAATTATTAAAGGTTTAGTTGTAGGTATTTTGACAGGTGGATTGGTGTTAGCCGTGATCACTACAGTTTGGTTAACATCAGTAAAGACAAGTAACAGTTCAGAAACATTATTTAGTAAGTAGAAGAGATAGACAAAATTATAAAACGTTGTCATTCTTGATATATATCTTTCGTAGAGACTATAAGTTTCGGTTAACAAAAAAACTTCATTAGAAATTTCTTTTATTAATGCAATAAAAGCTATTAAAAAGATCTGTAAATAATGAACTAGCAGTTTCCTTACAGAGAATCGGCTTTTTGGTGCCTACAAACTCGAATAATGCCCATAATGAGTTTTAGATCATTTAGTTGTGAAAGTGTCTTCTGTGCTCCAATATGAGTATCTGTTATAAACATTCATTTGATTTATTTTGAACCAAGAACATCCTAGTCTTAGAAATATAAAAAAAAACAGTATTCTTCTACTTCTTATGATGGATTCGAGTTCAGAAAAATGATTTACTGTATATAATCGAAACAAATTATTTTTTCTGACATTTGCAAAAAAAATTGACTTTTTAATATGTAGCTACGTCAACAACTGTCAATACCACAAGCAGCAGTTTAAACACTGGCACTGGTCGAAATACAAGCACCAACTCAAGTACTAGCATCAGTTCAGGCGCAACTACTACCATTCGTTCAGGTGTCTCTACTAGCATCAGCTCAAGCACAAGTGCCACCGTCCGCGCCAGATCAAGCGCAAGTACAAGTGCATCAACTGCTATCGCTTCAAGTATGTGCATTTTTGAAAACTTACAGAAACAAACGCGAGATCTATTATATTAGCGCATCAGAGTTTTCATTTCTCATAACCTGATATCAGATATTTTCTTTTCGATTGATAGATTAATCATATTGAGTGAATTTCGGAGTACTTATTTCTGAAATCAGAATGAACAATCAATACAATGCATAGACTATACATGTCATTCATCACAGGAGAAAACTATGTAGATTATGAGAGGCCTAATAGCATAACCAAGCCCACTTTTCTCTATGAATCTGTTAGATTAAAATAAAGTATTTGTTTTAGCTACTTCAACAATATCAATAACTACATCAAGTGAGTTTTTTTATTCATATTAAAATGTATATGCTTTAAATTATCATTAATCGTTTCATCAAAGCTACTACAACTACGACGACACAAAATCCAATAATAGCATCTTTGAGTGGTACCAACTTGTCATCTAATACATGGGCACCATATGCATATTCTTATCTGGCGAGCACATCAGCAAATTTGACTATCACCTGTACGTTTCAAGGAACTAATAAAAACAACTGGTATTTTGATGATGCATCTGTGAAAGATCCAACATCGATAGAAATGTTGACAAATGGTGATTTTGAGACTATGCCATCACTTACTGGATGGAGTATAGGACCTAGTGGAACATGCACATCTGCTTCCGGTATAACCACTTCTGTTGTTCATTCAACAAGTCAATCTTTTTTTGTCAAGTGTAGTAGTTCTATATGGATAGCACAATCGTTTGCTGCCATCGGTGGTGAAACATATAATATTACTTTCTGGCTTTATATGGACCATAGCAGTGGTAATGGTGGTAGTCTTAATCCTACTGTAGTTGTCACAATGAACTGATTAGTAGTTTTTCAGACATCATATTAGTATGAAGAAGTGTATGTGCATCTTATACGATTATTTAGATAATAAATAGACTTGGTAAATATAATTATTTAACTCCTATTTTTTGTGCTTTTGTTTCTCTCATTCGTGTCATTATGACATTATAATTTTGTTATTGTGTAATCATATTTTGAAATTTATTTAATAAAAATCATAATATATTAGCACAAAGACTAACGTAGAAAAGTACTGCAAGCATGAATTAATAATTCTAGAGATTAGTTTTTGTGACGAATGAATACAATAGTTTCATCACAATATAATCTATAATTCTAAAACTATTTATTACAGGTATGAATTAAAAAATGAAAGATTGAGAGAAACATATTCAAATATATGCCATTAAACAAACACGAAAATGTTCTTTCTAATTCTTCTTCTTCACATTTTCATCATAATTAAGTTCCATCTAAGAATTTCAATACAAGAAAATGTTAATTTTCAAATTATACTCCATCATCAAACATATGAAAATCAAACAAGCTCTGCTATTGTATTGAGTTTCATGCATATTTTTTCTCGTTATTAATTAAAAAAATTCGATCATGTATTTTTTATTTATTATTCGTATTGGTTTATCTGGGGAATAGTAAAGATGAATAAATAGAGATACATTGGTTGTAATGATTTCCATGAATGTACTTTAATATAACGTATAAAAGATGATTTTTTAGTCACTTTTTACTTGGAAGAAATAGTACTCGTGCACAATCACTTTTCTCATATTTTAGATTAGTATTAGAAGGTATGACAGAACTCTCGAAAAAATATGTTCTGAAAGTAATTAGATGCGAAAAATATTAGATCAATATGCAATATACGAATAAAAAACAGATATTTGTTGTAATTCAGAATTTTGTATATAAAACTAATTTAAGAAACCGTCACCATTTTCATTTTAAACAACTGAAAATTACTAAATTATAATTGTGATTAATATATATAAACAATTGGATTTAAGAATATTGTTAATAAAAAAATAAATAAACATAGTAAATTGATAATTCACAGTCATTATATAAATTGTCATGGATATAAATAATAACTTAAGCACATTACTCACTTGCTAAGAAAATTTTTTGTCTAAAATAACATGTTTTTGTATTGATGCCTTAAAATTTTAATACGGATTTGAAAAAAAGATAACATCTATTACATGGTTTACATATGTATAAAGTAATCATTGTAAATTAATTTATTTATTCTTACGCTGACAAAATAATGTTTCTATTCTGCGTTGCAGTTTGTTAGTTATGCGTAAACGATGCATAGATAATCATATGGCGCGCACACTACTATGAATAATTATAGCTCTGATTCCTTTAATTAATTTATTTAAATTGTTTTTGAACTAAACTTTTCATCCTTAACCTGTTTATACTGTTGATAAGAATCGATTCAAATTCGAAAAATGGCTCACCAACTTCTGATTGATGAATTGAATTAATTTATTTCTCTTCAAAATCCTTTCAAAAGTCTAATAATTCATTAGTTGTTTCTATTACATAGGTAATTATTGATTCGAAAAGTAAAGAAAATAATTAAATAGAATTATAACAAATAAAAGCTTTACTTGTATTAAAATAAAAGATCAATTTACTTTTATTTTTCTCATTTTATTTTACAAACAAAGAAAAAAAACTTATTTTTACAATTTGCATTTCAAATATTCAATATTTCTAATTAATATAATGTTGATGAATAGCAGCAGGAATACCAGTAATAGGTTGATAATAATTATTACCTATTGGAATAAAATCAACTTCTTGAGGGTGTGGGTGTAGATGTTGTGAATATTACTGTCTGTATAATAATAAAAAACGATTATAGCTACCTATTCTGAGTTTAAAGCCCCATCAGCAAGTAGTTGCCGCTTTTAACGATAAAGAAAACCAGTAGTACTTGTCTTTAAAAATGTTATTTTAATTAATTATTTCAAGCTTTATACTGAAAGACTTTTATATATACAGAAAAAATTATTCAAATTACAAAAAGAAGTTGCTAAACGATTTGCTTTTTCAAATTAAATAATAAAGAAGATTATTTGTTGTACAGAAAAAAAAGCGATTATATATCAATAATCATCTTATCATCAAAAATATTTTTGAATTAGATGATTATCTATATTAACAACATAAAGATTGCCATGCAGATCAAAGGATAACTCACAGAGAGAGTTAAACTGAGTATTCCCGTTTCTAGCTTCTTCTATACCAACGCATTATTTTATGACTCGATATATCCAATATATAAATACTGTGAGGACCATATAATTGATCTAACTTATCTCCCTCCGCAATAATTATTACGGCTTATTTCTATTTTCTAAAGTTTTATAAAAAGTATATATGAAACATGGCAAATACTACGTATATATTTGCCGTATCGAGTAATTCTTAGCTTGCTATCTTATGTGAATATTTACATAAAATATCCACGATGAAAGGAAAGTTAAATATTGTTCGTTTTTGTTTTTTCTTAGATGTGTGTGCGTGTGTGTACTTGCACGTGATCTTTTTCTGTTTTATTAAATGAAGATGAGAGAACCAGAAAGATAAAATGTATACATATCAAAATGAGAGAGAAGATAGAATGCTATGAAAGAGAGGTTATGTGTGAGTATGACATCACAGTAGCAGGTATGAAAATAGTTTATCTTTTATAAATTATAGGAGAAAGAAGGATTATTTTTCTTTCTGGGCAGCATCTGTTGTTAAGTTTGTTGTTGTTGTTGTTATTTCCGTTGTTAGTTGTTCTGCTATTTGTGTGATATCCGTTGCTAATCCTTCTGGTATTAATGTATCTTCATTGTCTGTCTTTTTCATTGTAACAATAATTATTGGAATGATTATCACCAAAATCAAAACAATAATAATAATTATCCATAATAATTTTCTTTTTCGGAAACATTCGCATCTAGAATTAAACAAATTCAAGTATTAAGAAAAATCTCGGATGGCGAGATAATATTCTCAATTCATATCAATATACATACGTTGTGCTTGATTCTGTTGTATTTGAGTTGGCTGTTTCAGGCTGCAATAGAAAATAAAAATTATTTTATACTATTTTCTTCTTCCCGAACAAAATTACATCTAAAACTTCAATTCTGTTATTGTTCATAGCTGTTGTTGAATTGAAATTTGAATGCTTTTAAAATCTAAAATTAAAAAATCTTCTTCAGACATTTTCAGTCCAATTCTAACTATAAAAATATTTATTGTGCTACTAGAAACTCATGCTCATTCAAATAATTCATTTTTTCTACTAACATATATAATCATATATATATGTGCAACATACGCTACAAAACAAATTTTCTATATCTATAAAAACACTATAAGCCCACTTCCTTTGTCTACGATTATTTTTTGTAAAACAATGTTGTTACATATAATTTTTTATCTGCTTCTACGATACAAAATAGAATAATTTCAAACAACAATTGAATGCTATAAAAATGTTTATATTGTTAGAAGTATTTTATATTTAATTGTATGACATTAAAATAGAAATAATTAAAAACTAATCTTTATCCCATCAAAGAAATTATCTTCGATTATTTAACATTGAAATTTCTTTATTATTATATGAATATTTGCTAAAAAGGTATAAATAATAAAGTCTGTCAAGTAGATGGATTTAAAAATAAATATCATAGACGTTGATTATCATGAAATTTATAAAAAAAATTATTGTAAAGATAGATCACATTCAGCAAAATTTTTGTATTAAGATAAATGTTTTCACTGTTTCGGTTAATAAAAACAAGTTACAAGTAGAAATTTCAACGGCAGATCTAGGATTCCGTATCAGAAGAGACCAATCTATGTTGAAAAATAAACTTTGCCGAAATTTTTAATAAAACAAAAAAATAAAGAGAAATAAAATATCTAATCATAAATGGTTTGTATATATTCTTGATGGGTGTGAGTATAAGTATAATTAGAACAAAATGTTTTTTGCACAATAGATGGATACTTTATTAATATTTATTTTTATCTCTGATGATACATTAATCAATTTTCGTTATTAAATCGTCATCTATATACATTTTATTTCATCTATTTTGAAAAATTTGTATAGTCAAATCGAACCAATTTTTAGAATAAGTTATCTCTCAATTCAATGTGAGCATTGTGTCGATAAAGTTTTGTATTACTGCAAATGATTATTTTGAAATAGTTTCGAATAACAATTGTTAAGACGATTCATTTTTTGTTGTGCTAATATTAAACGAAAATATCATCGATACCTGATATATAAGAAAAATAACGTGCACACGATACCATCACTAATCTTCTTTTCAATATATTTATAATTAACACTTATTTATTGTTCTATTTTTATTCTCTTTCACTTCTAGAATATCTGTTTATTGTTATTGAAATAGATACTTTTTCTTCAAGGACGATATCGTTTTGAAATTGTTTTTCTTCTATTGACTATATCTTTCTATATGATCGAAGGATTAGCTGAAGAATATAGAACAAAAATTAGTAGATAAGCTTTGCAATTGTTACTATATAACTAGTGTGTGCTTTTATATTTTTTCAGTTTTGGATTGTCGTAACGGAAGAAGAAGGTACAGAAGCTATACTATTGGTAAGGTGCTACATGCAACTCAATGATTATTCTGTTGAATAGATTCTTACATATATGTATCTATTTTTAGACAATATATAATACGTTCTCTTGGTTCATTTGAATTTTGTGGGTATTCCAATGAAATTATACGGAGAACGTCGTGCGAGTGTAACAGGGTGAGTTACAATTTTATCTGGTTTTCATGAAAAAAATAGACTATAATAAACTCCATAAATCGAGCTTCAACTTCGATCACCTTCAAAACAATGTGAATAAAAGCAAATTTTTATCACTATAACAACTATACGAATTGGAATTTCTTATAAAACAGTGTTTCTTATCTGTAGAAGCTGAAATCTATCGTACGAAGGTATATTTTACGTCTGGAAATTAAAAATATTGAGAACTAAAATTATCATAAAATGATTAGTCGGTTTTCAGATTGTACTGCACATTTTGTAGGAATATTTTACATAGCTTCTACTTATCAAATTTATAAATAATATAAAACAGATGTTTTAACACGAACGCTGTTCTATAGGTGGATATGGACCATTGTTGGTATTCTTGTCTTCTGTTTGAGTATAGCTCTTTCATCACCAACAAACTTTGATAGCAATCGTATGGTTCAAGCGGTACGTATCTTTTTTTTTATATCTACATATTCTGCTGTTACTGTGGTAGTCTTCTTCTAGCTTAATGATGATCAGAAGCATTCGTCGATTCATCACATAGAAGAGTAAATACATATATAGTTTTGTCAATACCTATTATTGTTCTTTATACTACCTTGCTAGATTGAGTTTGGAAAGTAATGAAGACTTAGATTTCATCGAAAATGACTCTGGTGAAGAGGAATTAAATGAAAAGATTTCAAGTAGAAAGATATCAACTAAAAAACACTCAAGTGAAGAAAAACCAAGTAAAGAAAAGCCTGGTAAAGAAAAAGCACCTAAACCACACTCAAGTGAAGAAAAATCTGGTAAAGGAAAAGCACCTAAACCAAATTCAAATGAAGAGAAACCAAGTAAAGGAAAAGCACCCAAACCAAACTCAAGTGGAGAGAAGCCAAGTAAAGAAAAGCCTGGTAAAGAAAAAGCACCCAAACCACATTCAAGTGAAGAAAAACCTAATAAAGGAAAAGCACCCAAACCACACTCAAGTGAAGAGAAACCGCATAAGCATCATTCAAGTGAAGAGAAGCCACATAAACACCACTCGGGTGAGGAAAAACCACACAAACATCATTCAAGCGAAGAAAAACCACATAAACATCATTCAGGTGAGGAAAAACCACATAAGCACCATTCAGGGGAAGAGAAACCGCATAAGCATCATTCAAGTGAAGAGAAACCACACAAACATCATTCGGGCGAGGAAAAACCACATAAACACCATTCTGGGGAAGAGAAACCACATAAACATCATTCAAGTGAAGATAAATCGAGTGAACAAAACAGTGGCGAACATGGTTCACAACAGAAGAGTAAGAATATACATAATACTTTTTGTTATATATTTGTGTTTAGATATGAAAGTTCTGAAATTTTCAGTAACTTTCAATCTCAAAACAATACCTACATACGATTTTTTTTACTACATAAAAGGAATTCCAGCATATATTTTTTCTAGGAGTTAGAACTATCATAAGATTACTGAGACTGAATGTATAGTGAATTTTCGAAGTATCCGTATTTTTAAGAAAGAGAAAAGTAGATCATTGGTTTTGAGATTTTCGAATATTTTTATTGTATCTATTTATATCGAGCTGAAAATGATTCTTGGCCATATTCCAAAGCGTGTTAGTGCGTGATTTCAATCGAAGTGCGCTCCATACTCGCTTGCTCCCCTCAGCACGAGACTTATCTAACTCTTCAGTCGAAAGAATGGATGAAAAATGACCGTAAAAATGTATTATTATTCATAGTTAGATCATTTTGCTTATTAAACTACGCGATTACTCATAAAAGAACGATCTTAACCATTTTTATGATCAGTAATCAGGTTATTTTTTGAGCTAAAAACTGATATAAATAATATTTCTAGCTCCCACATGCAGCGATCATATCCGAAATAGTTATGAAACAGATCAAGACTGTGGTGGTCCCTTATGCCCAAAATGTTCAATTGGAAAATCTTGCAAAGTTGGTTCAGATTGTATCACTGAAGTCTGCACGTCTAACATTTGCAATGGTATATTTCTATTTCTAAATAGTTACATATATCTTATTGACTCTACTCTAGCACCTACTTGCAATGATACTATGAAGAATCAGGATGAAACAGATGTAGATTGTGGTGGTGAAGGATGTCCTAAATGTTCGGATACAAAAGTATGTCGTAGACCACTAGATTGTTCCAGTGGAGTTTGCTTGTCTAACATTTGTCAAGGTATAATTTTTTTTGTATTAAAATATAATAAAACTAGTTCTCATTCTTCTAGTATCCAGTTGCATGGATGATGTACAAAATCAGGATGAAACCGACGTTGACTGTGGTGGTGAAGGTTGCCCTAAATGCGCGGATACAAAAACTTGCAACAGTGCTTTCGATTGCTCTAGCGGAGTCTGCTCATCTGACGTTTGTCAAAGTACAGTATTCTTAATATAAAATATAAAGAAACTCATGATCTTTCATTCAGCGTCTACTTGTATGGATGGCGTGACGAATCAGGACGAAACCGACGTTGACTGCGGTGGTGAAAGCTGTCTTAAATGCGCGGATACAAAAACTTGCAACAATGCTTTCGATTGCTCTAGTGGAGTCTGCTCAGCTAATATCTGTCAAAGTATATAGTTTTGTTCATATGAAATATAATAAAACAAAGCATTTCTCTTGTAGCACCCAGTTGCACGGATGGTGTACAAAATCAGAATGAAACAGATGTTGACTGTGGTGGTGAAGAATGTTCTAAATGTCCAGATACAAGAGCTTGTTTTAATCCATCCGACTGTTCTAGTGGAGTCTGTTCAGCTGATATTTGTGAAGGTATAGTTTTCTTTATATGAAATATAACAAAACGTATCATGTTTTTTCTAGTACCCAGTTGTATGGATGGTGTGAAAAACCAGGATGAAACAGATGTAGATTGTGGTGGTGAAGGATGTCCTAAATGTGCGGATACACAAGCGTGTCGTAGACCACCAGATTGTTCCAGTGGAGTGTGCACTTCTAACATTTGTCAAAGTATAATTTTCTTTCTCTAAAACATAATGAGACGCATGATCTTTCTTTTAGCACCTAGTTGTATGGATGGTGTGAAGAATCAGGACGAAACCGATGTGGACTGTGGTGGTGAAGGTTGTCCTAAATGCGACGACACAAAAGTCTGTCGTAATGCATCGGATTGTTCTAGTGCAATGTGTGTATCTAACATCTGTCAAAGTATAGCTTTCTTTACATGAACTATAATGAAATCGATAATCTTTGTTGTAGCACCCAGCTGTATGGATGGCGTGAAGAATCAAGGTGAAACAGATGTGGACTGCGGCGGTGAAGTATGTCCTAAATGTTATGACACACAAGTTTGTGGAAATGCATTGGATTGTTACAGTGGAGTCTGCTCAGCTAATATCTGTCAAGGTACAATATTCTTTATATAAAGTATAATGAAACTCATAATGTTTCTTGTAGCACCCAGTTGCACGGATGGTGTACAAAATCAAAATGAGACAGATGTGGATTGTGGTGGTGAAGAATGTCCTAAATGTGCTAATACAAAAGTTTGCTATAGAACATCAGATTGCTCTAGTGGAATCTGCTCATCTAACATTTGTGAAGGTATAGTTTTCTTTACATGAAATGTAATGAAGCTCATAATGTGTCTTGTAGCCCCCAGTTGCATGAATGGTGTAAAGAATCAGAATGAGACAGATGTGGATTGTGGTGGTGATAAATGTCCTAAATGTGCGAATACAAAGGTTTGTAATAGTGCATCCGATTGTTTTAGTGGGTTCTGCGCATCCAACATATGTCAAAGTATATTTAGCTATCATAAGAAATATAATATAATTTACCATGATATGTTCTAGCTCCCACTTGTGACGATGGAATACAAAATCAGAAAGAAAGTGATACAGATTGCGGTGGTGAGACATGTGTTAAATGTGTCGATGGAAAGACTTGCAACGTCGCTTCAGATTGTTTTAGCGGAGTTTGTGTATCGAATATTTGCCAAGGTTTATTTTTTATGTCATATAAAATAGATTTTACTGTTTGTGTTCTAGTACCTACTTGCAATGATGGCGTGAAAAATCAGAATGAAACAGATGTGGATTGTGGTGGTCAAACGTGTCCAAAATGTAATAACGGAAAAGTTTGCAACATCGACTTGGAGTGTGCTAGCAACGAATGTACTTCGAATCTTTGTCAAAGTGAGTAACGTATTTATATAGTTATTGAGAGTATTGAGTTGTATAGTAATGTAATATCATCATCCACAATTATACCTTGACGAATTCACATTTTTATATTGTTCTAGCATGTTCATTAAGCAGTTTCAAAAATGGTAACTTTGAATCAGGAAAATCCGATGGCTGGACTATTGGCGGTGGTAGTCGAAAGTCAATTTTATCATCTGAAATTAACCCAAAGGACTATTTACCCGGTGGTAAGCTGTACAATGCTACCGTTGCCCAAAAACATTCAAGTATTGTAACTCGCGTTGATGATCCAGTTCTGAAAAGTTTAATGCCAAAAGTCGTTCACAATGGAAACCACGCATGGCGTGTAGAAGACTTAGAAAAAGGAGGTTTTGTATCAGTCCTAAGTCAACAAATCAAGAGTTACTATTGCCTGAATATCTATTTTGCTTGGTTAGCAGTTTTAGAAAATGGCGAGCACAATGCAACGGATTCCAGTGTTATGGTAATCGAACTGAAAGACACAACTGTAGGTGACACATTACTCTCACGTCGTTACGATGCCGGTGCCAGTTCGAAAGGTGTTGATACTCGTTTCAAGACACATAAGGCATATTTTTATACACCTACTTGGCAAATTGAACATTTGACAATTGATAGCAATCGAACAGGTCATGACTTCACCTTGACTGTTCTAGTAGCAGATTGTAGACCAACAGGACATAAAGGTTATGTCTATATCGATAGTTTTGGAGGTGTTTCACCATAATGAAATAACAGTTGGCTTTCAGTCAAGAATATGACTTACGAATTTATTTTACTCACGCTTATGAAATCCCATTTTTTTTGCTTTACTTCTTTATTCAGAGTTTTCAGTTTTGAGATTGTTTTCGATCTTTCAATAAATTAGTTTTTTGAAGCATCCTTCGTTAAGAATCACTTTCAACAGATACTTTGCAAATCGAGTGTGAGAATGTGTACAATCATGGCCGATATAACTGATCCAGTATCTCTCATTGTTCTTGTTTAGATGTTATTTATCGAGAGTAGAATATGGGCTTGTAAAGAATTAAATATATTTCATGCGAAAATGAATGAACATACTGATTTTATATTGAACTAAAGTATGCGAAACAAGTATTTTCTCCACTTCAAATCGTACAGAAGTAAAATAAAACGCATTGTAACTTATTATTATTAATTTTTTATATTTGACATCATTCACTATTTTTTGCTGAAGCCTAGAAATTATAAACCTTTTTGATTGAAGTAATATCAACACCTACCTTTATCTTTCAGTTATTCGAAAAGAATGCATACTTCTATTTTTAAGCGAAGCTTTTTTTTTCATTTTTTTTTTGTTGCAAAGTCTTTTAGTTTGACAGAAAATATAGCAATATTTTGTCTCTTTGATCTGCCAATTATATGTCTCTGTTCATGCAACTAATCATTTTTTTTAAAGCATGCGAAGCGTAATTGTTTTTTATATAATAGTAATTATGTATAAATAATTTACGCTTGAGGAACGACCTGTCTTGGTGGTTTTCGAACGTAGAATACGATGATTTTTGTCAACGCCGATATGAGAAGTTTTAAAACGGATAATGGACCACCAACAAGAAAGAACATTAGAACGACAATGTAATATGTATTAATTTCCGAATTGTCAGCAATAGTATTATAATAATAAGAACAGTATTCTGGACTACATGCTGCATAATATTTTTCATACGATACGTCCGGCTGCCATCGTTCTACCATTAAATTAGAAACAAGAGTGTTGATAGTTGCCGTTTCGAGGCTCTGATTTGATGATAACGAGTTTACAGCTGATGAATACATTGGCGATGGTAGTAAATATTTTTGTAATTCATTTATACAGGTTTGATTATAAAAGCATTCAAGAGTTGATTGAAGTAATGATTCAATCACATTGCATCCTGTGTAAAAACCGGTTACATTGAATAATATTGTCATAGTATTATAATCATAAATCGACGATTGACGAATACAATTAGCTGAAAGACTACAACTGCAGCCATCGTAATTCTTTGCCATCACGAATACATTGTTTGTATCTTTGCTTCCACTCAGTTTATAGTTTGTTTGCAGCGCAGAAAACAATGCATTAACTTGAGTAGTGTCTCGAATCATCTTGAGAGATAATACAAAGGTATCTGACATTGATGATTGAAATTGTTCTAGTATTGATCCAATTTGTGCTTCAAACAGGTATGGAGAAATGGCAAATCTACTGAAATATTGACTTGAATAGAACCGAACGAGATTATTCGCAATCGTATTATGAGCTAGCTGACAAAACATGTCTAAGGCTCGAAATGCATGTGCGCCTGTTATTCGAAAGTCATCTCCATAAAATGTAGATCCATTGCCCGTAGCAAGATGACGAATCCATACATCGCTGACAAACTCACTACTACATACTTGATGATACATGGGAGCGATAGCAATAAAGTTTTCGTAATTGATCGAAATTTGTGTGCATGGACATTGCAGAGTCAGTGGATATTCGTAATGCAATGCAATATAGCTACTGAGACTAGGGTACATAACAGTTAAAGTTTGCTTAGTTCCTGTACCCGTCAGAAATGGTACATAGAAGAAAGGAATCGTTAATAATGCGATTAGTAAAATAATAAATAATATTGTTGCTATTCGCTGTACACGAAGAACGCATTTATCGGTTGAAGGTGGCACAGATGGGAACAAATTAAAATATTGAATGCATTCCTTTAAATTATTCCAACATCCAGAGTTTTGGCTATGAATATTTGCCACTAAAAAAAGAGATATAGAAATGATGAAGCCATTTATCAAGACAGTTCATGATCGATAGAACTCGGAACTATCATTGCTAGCGAAATACATCATATAAGTTTATACGTACTACTTATTCAAGGAGCCAATAACTGTTACGATGGATGAGGATAGGAAATGTGTTGTTGATTGTTAATTTGAAAAAATAAGCTGAATAATCTAAATATTTTAAACATATTGAAAACGAGATATCGAACAGAAACCGTTTACATCATTTTATACATACAAAAGTTAAATCGAACGGGCACTTACTTATCTGAAAAGAAAAAAAATAATATTAGTCATAAATTATATTTTAGATGAGATTTTTCCATAATCGTATATAAAAACACAGATCTTAAAACGAAGATGATATAGTTCATTTTAGGAAAATCTCACGTAAACTATAATGTATCACTAATCTTTCTTTGTTTTCTATGTCGCAGCTTATGACTAAAATAAAAATCTATTACTAACTTTTTTCAGTAGTTATAAGAGAGAAGTTTTGTAGGAAGTATACTTCCTTACCGAGATAAAATTTATTTTTCACCTTCTGGTGCAGTTATAAAAGCGTTTACTTCTGTATCGTCTAATTTATATTTGAAATAAATATTTTTCTCTCTCTTTCTAGTATAGCTAGGAGAGGAGACATTCCTACGTAAATTACAATTAGAGATTTAAGCCGTCAGCTGATTTTTGCTGAAGCAGACGGCTTACACCTCTAATTACAATTATCATGATAAAAGCCATTCCTTTTTCCACTTCCGTGTTATGACTACACAGCGTTTCCATTAGCATTAGCATTCATATTTAATTTTTTTTGTTGACCTCACCAGTATTTGTCTTATTCGGTATATAACATAAAAGAAGCAAAAACAATCATAGACTAAATCATTCATTGAAAAATATAACACTAATTACACATCGATCATTTAAAAAATTCTGACAGTCGACGCGATTTTACAGTAAAGTTGAAATGGAGAAAAAAGCTTTTATTACGTAGTTATTATATTTAATAAATATTATAAAAACAATTAACATGACTTTGTTGTAAAAGTGGAAAAAAGCTTTTCTTATTTGGTCGTTATATTCAAGAGAGGCTTTGTGAGTGATGAAATCAAAATGGGTGTGAGTATAAATGTAATTTCGATATTGTCTCCATAGTACACTCACTTCCCCACCTACTCTCAAGATTCCATTGCTCCCTTCTAGGTTTCGTTTGATTTTCGCTTGCTGCAATTCATCTTCGATCAACACTGACTTGATTAGAGTTCTATAATACACAATACCGATCGAATAATGTTTGAATACTGATAAGAATGCATTATAAAACTATTGTTATCATGTATTATTTAACATAAAAATATCATTTCTTTCATTCAAACAATCAAACAGGGAAAGAATATTTATTCATAACTTTCAGTTGAAAAGAAATAATTCCTTTATTTTTCTTCTTCTATTATATGTAAATAATAAAGTATTGAATGAAAACTGAAGCTCCATATTAATTGATATACTTTAATAATTTTTACAGAAAAATACAATCTTTCAGCATGATAACTAAACATCTCTAATATGTATAAAATCATTTTTAAATATCTACTGATCATTATTTGTATCGTTTTTCGATATTAATGTAACAAATAAAATTTGAGAAACTGTTTTATTGATATTTAATTAGAAAAATATCTAATCGGTAACAATTTGATGACGTTCATGAACAGAAACATCATAAAAGAACGTGATAAAATAAAGTCCTGACAAAATGGATTATTTAAAGAATATATTTTGCTGACGTCAATCATCTATTTATCATTGAAATTGATATTTTATTTTGATTTTAATCACGTCCCAATATTAACACAATGTCTAACTAGAATTATTATTTTTTTATCACGTCTTTTATCTAAAAAAAGGTTATTTTCAAATGAAATTCATTGTTAAATAACTGAATTTACAATGATGTTTTCTTTTCAAAATAAAATCCTATCAGATTCAGAATAAAAATAATGTAAAGAGTTATTAATTAAATCTAAACAGTAATAATCAAAATTATCAACGTAGAATTGTCTCTTAAATATATCATTGTTTTTCTACATGATATTTGTTGATTATGAGAAGAGAAAAAAAAGAGATATATAAAGAATAAAGAAATGAAGAAATAGTTTCACTTGGTTTTCTCGAACAAGAATATTAATTGTCTAGTCGATTACAACAATTGCACTTTTCTTTATCATCAATGCATATAAAACAAAAAACGTTGTTTGATATGATGACGAAAAACAATTTCAACATGTTCCTCATGTCACTGTTGGTTATGATCAATGAAATATCAGGTAATCATTATTATTATTTATCAATCATCTCTTTCTTTGTATTTAACTTAAAATGATCTTGATGATGTGGGTGTAAGCATTCTATTTTATTCGTACCCACACCGACACACTCTAAAAAGACATAGTGATTAGTATAGAGATATACAAATATAGATTTAGGTTCAAGATAGTGTGAGAAATATAGAAGTATAGATCATTACACACTGAAGTATATTGTTAAAGATACACTAATAAGAATATATTTATAGAAAGTTTAAAAAGAGGAAAACTAAAAACATTTAATAGAACTCATGGCTATATGTTTTGATGTTAAATGAGAACAGTGTATTTTATACATAAACTTATTGTAAAATTTGCTGTAAGATTTATATTAATTAATAATTGCGTTCCAAGAGAATAATCAAACGTTATTCTCTTTAATTTTTGTGATAGATCATTAATTGATTCGATTTAAACTGAAGATGAAAATAGAGAATATAACCAAATATTCTATAAAAATGTTAAGTAAGAATTTTTCATTTAATCAAATCAGATGCTTTCTAAAATATGAATCATTTGTATGATTAAGTCAGATTGCAAATGTTTCGTAAATAAATTATTTTAAAATGTGCTTATTTTGCTTGTTAAAACAATTTTCCTTATTTTAAATAAATAGAACATTTAATAAATAATATGTGTTCAAATAATTATTAATAGTCAAATAAATGAACTTATTTGGAATTTTTCTTTGAAGAAAAATCATTAAAATTATTTCTGAATTGGTCAGTCTTTCAAAAAGATATTTGTTTAAAGAGACAAATTATTTACAAAAGATTTTTCTCTGAAACTTTTCATTTTAGCATCTTCATTTAATCAACCAAAGCTTTGTCTAACACCAGCTTGGAATCCTTTTGGAATCACTTTTGCTAATGAAACAACTGTTGGGTTTTATCCATGCGTCATTTTTATCGATATAAACAACACAGTTTATACAGTTAATGATGAAAAGAAACGAATTTTAATATGGATTAACAATAGTATCAATCCAAACAAAATTATTTCTGACAAATTCATTGATTCAAATTCCATCTTCGTTACAAATAATGGTGATATTTATTATCATAATGGTGTCGGGAATAGTCGAGTCGATAAATGGATATCAGATACGAATACTTTTGTTAATGTCATGAATGTTGATGCACCATGTTCTGATCTCTTTATCGATATTAATGATATTTTATATTGTTCAATGTCTCTTCGTGATAAAATTGTGAAAAGATGGTTAAATGATAGTGAAATAATATCAACAACTGCAGCTGGAACGAATATTAGTGGTTCGGGTTCGGATCAGCTTAATAATCCTAGGGGTATATTTGTTGATGTAAACTTTGATTTATATGTGGCAGATTGTTACAATCATCGAATACAACTATTTAAACATGGAGAATTAAATGGAACAACAATCGCTGGAAAAGGATCATTAAATAATATTATTTCACTCAACGCTCCATCTGGAGTTGTATTAGATGCTGATAAATATCTTTTTATTGTCGATTCCGGCAATTTTCGTATAATTCGATCAGGATCAAACGATATTCGATGTATAATTGGATGTGATAATGCAGGATCACAATCTCATCAATTATATTATCCAACAAGTCTGAGTTTCGATAGTCATGGAAATATATTTATTGCTGATAGCTTCAATAATCGCATACAAAAATTTGATTTCTTATCAAATTCTTGTGGTAAGTTTAAAATAATTGAATAAAATATTTTTCGAATTCTTCATTAGAGAAAATTTGTTCAGATATTTTTATCGATTTGTGATTAGAAAAAAGATTTTCAGTAAGTTACGATTGATTGAAATTGTTGTTTTATTCGAAGATTATCTTAGATAAAATTGAATCTTTTATTCTGTCGGAATATTTACTAATCTCTCATCAGAAATATTGAATGTTTTCAAATAATTTCTTAGAAGAAAAATGATTAACGAATATTTTTTTTTAATTTAATTATATCAGAAAAACAAATCCAAAGGGTTTAAACAACATCAACAACATTTATGAGAAAGTTCAATTGAAAAAAAGTTCATATCTTCTTCTTTTTGTGTATTTATATTTCTCATATCATTGATGAAAAGTAGTTCGACTTGTTTTTTTGAAATAATTCTCGATGTGATCGATAAAATTTTACAAAACACATCTCAAAGTGAAAGTCAGTTATATCCTTTTTCTTGTGTTTTATTATTAATGAGAGTTCTTTCACTTATATTTTTTCCAAGTAATAATCTCTAATGTCATTTTTATCGCATATTTAGAATAATTTACAATGTGTCATCAATTACATTGAAAAAAGGATGTTTGCATCGAGATTCAGACGTTTGAATTTTGCTACGTTATAAAGAGAATAAACAATTTTCTCCTTAGAAATTTTCTCAATTAGATCATTTGAAATTCTATTAATTGATTAAAATGTCCAGTTGTCTGATGGTTAAAGATTATTTTTTGATTAGATAATAATCTATAACTGAATAAGAAATAATTACGAGTTTTATAGTTCTATTTGAAACGAAAACAAATATTTTATTGATTGAGGGAGACTGTGGATGTGGGTGTGGGAGTGAGTGATGGCTAATTGTTTGGGTGATGAATAGGATATTAATCTATCAGCTAGTGCACTCACATCCTCATCCACACCTACACTCACCCGCACCCACCCTCAAGATGGTGTATTAATAATAATGATTATTCACACTAGGAACATGTACGGAAAGAAAAAGAATATTGTAAATCATTTGATATTTTGTAAATTTTGATTGATTTGTTTTTGTTGAATAGACAATTCATCGAGTGTTCAATCAGTGTATTCGTCAATGTTAACAAAAAATCATCCAGCATACTCTCCTACTGGTTGTGATCTTCCAAACTACTATTATGAAGCCATACAAATGACTGTCAATGAAAGTCGCTATTATAGTCTTCATAGTAACAGCATTATCGATACATATGGATACATATACACAAACAATTTTTATCCATCTGCTCCATTTGAAAATTTAATTTTGGAGAATGGTACTCATTTCGATAAACATAAGTCTGGATTCAGAATTTTTCTTCAGTCTACCACTGCAAATATATTGATTGTGACGACGTATAGTCCAAATGTAACAGGAACATTCTCAATTATTGTGTCTGGCATTAATAATGTCACTTTCGAACGTCTAAGTGAGTGTCTATACTATTTACAAACATCAACACACAAATACAAAGCATAGAAAATCTACGTATAGTCAATTTCCATTCTGTATTCATCACAAATCTTGTAAAGTTCCCTGTTGAGTAGAGATCGTTGTTTCAAAAAAGAATTCTCACATGATAAACATCTTTTATTTTTATAGAAATATTCGCACGAAGAGGAAGAAGTGAACGGAAAGATGTAATTATCAGACCTAGACTACAGCATAACTTATCGATATTTGATTGTTGGGTGTGAGGGTGTGGGTGAGTGCGAATCTGACACTTGAATAACATCTACACCCACACTTCCACCCACGTTCATCCTTTTAGAGTATCTAAGACTAATTCTTAGTCCCGACATTGATTACACTCGACAGAGAGAAGTTATCAGTCGGATCAATAGGAATTTCTTCAAGTTTGAAAGAAGCTATTTTTGCTAAAGTCAAAGGATTGTTTGATTGAATGCGATATTTAATTTTAAAGTAAAGTATTTCTTGATAAAAGTTCAGGAAAATTTCGATTAAGTTGTACAGATGTTCTCAAAAGATGGAGTTTCGATAACACAACTATCGATAATATCTTTTGTTCAAGTTTCTTCATTACACTTGAATACCAAATCTCAGTTTCAATGTTTTCTTTATTCTTTCCGTCAGAAATATCAATACAGCGATACTTACAGATTATCTTGAAATAAACCAAATCGAAACAATTTAATCAACACTTCCTATGGAAATGATTATGAAATAATCATTATGATTTCTTTGTATTTTCTCGCTGAACGTTGACTGAATATATTCCATATATCTTTGTCATCAAATCTGCACCCTGCAGATATATATTTGGAAGAAAAACGGCATTGAAAAAGTTTTTAAATTCATCTAAATATCTTACGAATAGAATACTGATAAATCTGTTTTTTGTTGACTAGATACTTCATCAGTTGTCCAATCTATATATTCATCAGAATTAACAACGAATAATCAAAAGTATTCTCGTGAGTGTGGCAAATATAAATATTACTATGAAACTCTACAAATCAACGTAGTTACCAATGGATTCCATCTGTTTGGAAGTAACAGTAGTTTCGATACATCCAGATATATCTACAAAGAGAGTTTCGATCCATTTAATCCATCAGTAAATTTAATCTCAGCGGCGAATGGAGAATGCTCACCTGGAAAAATTCTATATGGAGTCAATCTTCTAGTCAATGTCACATACATATTGGTTGTGACAACATTTTATCCAGATGTGACAGGATCATTTTCAATCATTGTGTTTGGACCAGCAAACACCAGGGTCAAACGTATTAGTAAGTATTCATACTTTTCGGTCATAGTTAGCACCATGTTTCTCCATTGTTTTCCAAGATGGAAACAGGATTGCAATTAACAAAAAGCCCAAGGTTTTGCTATAAAGTGTCTTTGTATGAGCTTTTGGTGGGTGCCAAACAAAAAACACTTAGGCTATGTATGTGCAAGAAGATTTGGGCAAGAAAGAGAGTTTTCATTATGCATTCCGTTCGATAAACAGTAATAAGAACTCAAAAGTCAGATTTTTATTTATGTTTATCATGAGAACATGAAATTTTGACAAAGTCCAGATATCATTTGAAATTTATGACATGAATTGTTTCTCTGCAACCTATCTCGTCTGAAAAGCTTGATTAGTTCAGAAGCATCAAATAAAACTAGAACGGATGGACTCAATGTCTAGCCTATATTTTCGTATTGTTATAGAGATATTTCGATCCAATAGATATAATCTTCGAAAAGATCTTTTCGCGATTATTCGACATTGATACTAATAGTATGACGCAACTCCAAAAATGGTCAAAAATCTATTGTAAAAATATCGATTCTCAAAAAGATGTTTCCAATAACTGTTTCCGCTGCAGTTGATCACAATATCTCGTTTTCTGATGTTTTTTCCAAACTGTTCTGCAATTACTTTGAATTAGATCTCTCTATCAGTGAGCTTCGAGAGAGAATCGATCAATTCGCTCAATGGCGTATTTGTCGCTCATCTCATTCTCATAACATTGAGTCTATTCGAAATAGTATTTAACTATGCGGTGTTTCAAATATACTTTATTTATTCTGTATATTTATATTTGTTGTTGTTACGGACATAACAAGTTAACAAGGATAGATAATACAGAAACATTGATGAAATAACCTTTATTTACAATGATTATTCATTGTGATAATCAAAGAATACGTAAATCTACATATATCCAAGAATTGAACCATTTCACAACAAGTTAATGTTTTTCCATAGAATTTCATTCGTTTTTGTATTCATTTGCCACTGTCATAGTATAGAATAAATGAATATTTTATTAACTATTATTTCTTATTTACCTAATCAAAAAATGAAATTATTTTTATTCTCAGCAACAAACCACACGATATAGATAAGTCGATGGAAATGACAAATGTATATAGATAATCGATCCTTCAACGCATGAGTTCTAAACAGGAAAAAAGTGTTTCATCAAATAGAATTACTAAACATTCACCCATTAAAACGTTTCTGTAAGTTTACTCTCAAACTTTCATCATTAGCTTACCTCACTCACTTGTTAAAGTTTTCTAGTAAGACAAAAAATTCTCCGATAGCTTTCAGCATCTCTGAAATATTGATGTAATATTAGGCTGAAGACATTGATTGATTTATTTTAATTGTTATGATCATCGGATGATATTTCTCTTGTTAAAACACACTTAATCAATAAGAATTGACTTTCTCAGTATTCAGTACAATGTTAAATTTGTTTATTTCGTATCGAAGATTGACAAATGTTTCCTCCAAAGCGAAGAATGAATGATTTTCAGAGATCTTCAATACACAAAATGCACATCAATTGTAAAAATTCTCTTACTTTTATTCTAAAACAGTTTTACTTGATATGTTGTGTATTTTATTTTAACTGATCAAAGATCTCCTTTTATGAGTTTCTAATCATAAATAGTCTAAATATCTTTATCAAACTTGTTTTTACGTACCGGCTGAAATAATATTTTGAAAATATTCCAAGAGAAAATAGTTATTTTACTTTAGTCAATAAAATTTCAAATCTCTGTTTTATTGCTTTAGTAAATCCTGATAAATGTGTTATTGGTGGTTCATGCAATGTTCAAACTAAAGGTATTGGTATAACTCTTGATGATATTTTACGTTATGAAATTAACCGAAATGTGACATTAAAGAATCAACCGTTATTAGTGAAAATGAGTGTTGCTTTAACAATAATTATGTTTCTTTTGGGTTTAATCAATAGTATTTTGTCACTTTTAACATTTCAAAATGCAAATTTAAGAAAAGTTGGATGTGGAATATATCTTTTAGCTTCTTCAATTACTTCTCTTCTGACAATTTCTATGTTTACAATCAATTTTTGGTTTGTTCTTCTCACTCAAATGAATTCATTAATTAATTTATCTATTCATCGAGTTGGATGTATTGCTATTGAACCTCTTCTAAAACTTTTTCTTTATTTTGATACATGGCTCAATGCTTGTGTTGCTACTGAACGAGCAATTCATGTTTATCAAGGTGTTCATTTTAACAAAGAAAAGAGTAAACGTCTTGCTCGATGGATTATATTCATCTTACCACTTTGTATCACAGCTACAATCATTCACGAACCCTTACATCGAAATATTTTCGAACATCGAGTAAAAGACGATATGGATAAAACAAAAATAATAGAAAGAAATATTTGGTGTGTAATTAATTATTCTCATGCTGTTCAAGATTACAATATAGCTATTCTTTTCGTTCACCTCATTGGCCCATTTATTGCTAATCTTTTTTCTGCTTTATTTATTATTTTTGGAACTGCTCGGCAACGATCATTAGCTCAGACGAGTCAAAACTACATTGCACATATTCGTGCACAATTACGAGAACATAAACAATTAGTAATTAGTCCAGCAATTCTACTTATTCTATCAATGCTACGTTTGATCATTTCATTATTATCTGGATGTGTGAAGGTACATGATAATCCTTGGCTATATCTTTGTGCTTATTTCATTTCATTTACTCCATCGATACTTGTCTTTGTTGTATTTGTCGTTCCGTCGAAATTGTACAAAAAAACACTGAAAGAATCATTGACAACTTGGCAACGACGGATTCGTCGCTGAAATCTGCGTCTTATTTTCAAATATTATATATCAGACTCTCATAACATATACGAATGATATTATCAATATGGTTAAGCCGTCCAATTAATGATTTAACTTATAGCCATTGTTTCGTATACGTCTTCGAACTGTTCATATAGAGAATAAAAAACAATCTTTATAAAATAAATTTCTGTGCAGTAAAATATATTTTGGAATCTTGTTTATATTCTTTCATTTAGCAATTAATAATGAGAACAAAGTTTTTGTTGGTATCGATTTGATTAAAGACTATTTTATATCAAAACATAAAGTTTTTTTAGGGTGTGGATGTGGATGTGGATGCGTGAGGACAGTTATATTCTTTCACAGCCATACCCACACCCATCCTTAGTATAGTATGTTATCGCATTCAACCTTATACACACTATTGAAGCAACGTTTTCTTTCTAGTACGATTATAATCGTCCTAGAATTTGTTTAATAAAAACAAGAGAAATATTAGATTAATATTTGATAGTCGTATATGTATTTAAGCAATGAAAAAAAAAATAGTTTAGTAAATCTTTTAGTGTCATTCAGGTTGATCGGCCAGTTCGATTGTTATTTGAATATCATCACACCAGTTCGACGTCAGATCATCTTTCAAAGGATTGAAGGTAACCACAACAGTAATTGTTTCCTTTATCATTGATTTATTTAGTGGAAAACGAATCGGTTCTATATGATTCGAATCTAAAATATAAGAATGTGATTAAAAAAATCATTCTAATAAGAAGAATACAAACTCATAGTATATGTATGTCCTGGATATCCAATAGTGATAGTTGTCATTTGACCACCTAATCGAGCATTTAACACCAGTACAGGATTGAGTTCCCATCTTACTTGTTTATACTTATCAGAAATCTTTTGATAGAAGCGAACAGGTCCAATTGCTTTGTTAGGTGTAAATACACAGTTATTCTCATCTTGTTTTGAACGAATGATAGCAACACTATTATTCTCATCGATATTCCATGAAGATTCAAGAGGAATATGACAATCGGCATAACCATTTGTTATAAGATTATAATCTTGATCAATATAAGTTCCGTTAGGAAGTCGAGATCCACGTATTGATATAGCATTCAATAATTGTATATCAATGATTTTGGCATTGAAAAGATCAGTGTGAGAAAAATTAATTCCATTAACATTGACATCAATAAAATTAGCATTTTGTAAATTAGTATATGAAAACCATGTATTTTTCAATCGAGCTCCTGTTAAATCAACAGAAGACATTTTGCATCGAGTGAAAGTTGCATAATCAGCAGTAGCATTTGAAAAAATAGTATTATCAAAAGATGAATCAATGAATTGACCAGAAGTTAAATCAATATCGGTACAATTTGAATTGCGCATTGTTGTATTTAAAAAACGAGTACCATTAAAAGAAGTACCAGTAAAAACTCCTAAAGATAAGTCACTGTTAATGATCGTACTGCTGCCCATTTGTACATGGAAAAAATTGGCTCGTCTGATGATAGAATTGTTAAAAATAATGTTGTGATAATAGCAGAGACGATAACAATGGAAGAAACAATGACTAAAATTAATACTTTCAAAGTGATTGTTAAACATGAAAGTATCCGTAAAAAATGTTTCTGATGCATGTGTATAGATAAAAGTGCTGTTGCTAATGAATGTTTCCCTAAACATAGCAGATATTAAAGTAGCATTTGTAAAATCAGTATTAGTTAGTCTTGCGCCAGTAAAGTTGGCACTCCTAAGATGAGCATTTGAAAAATTGGTATAAGGTAATTCTGTTCCCGAAAAATCAGCTTCTTTAACGGTAGCATTTATAAAATTGGTATCAATGAGTTTTGCATCCTTAAAACTGACCTTACACATGATACTGTTTGTGAAGATCGTTTTTTCGAGAAGTGCATTATCAAAAGTGCACGATCTGAGTGAAGCCATAGTAAAGTTAACTCCTGTTAAGTTACTACGACGAAAATCAATATCGACTAAAGTATTATGGTCAAATGATGCATTGAATAAATGCGTTCCGACTAACGAAAGACCAGGCATATTCCAATATAAGGCATTACGAAAATCGATATTTTGTAATTGAGCTGTTGATAAGTCTAAAGGATTACGATTTCTTGTTAATTGTCCAGCTTCGTATAGAAATCGAATTAATTCGACATTTCGAATAGGATCCAATTGTCGAATAATAGCCAAAGTCTTTGCACGAACAATAGTTCTTGTAACATAATCATTTGTTAAACTTCCATTATTTTCTTTAAGTAAAACACCAATATCTTTAATATAATCTATTAATAAATTATCTCGATATTGCATATATGCAATATTTACTTCATGTTGACGTTGTTCTTCATTTAATTTGAATTGATCTTGAGAAATTTTTTTATCAAGTTGTCGTTGTTCTTCAGCTTGTTTTCGATCGTCAAGTCTTTGCTGTGCTGAAATATTTAAATCTTGTTGTCGTTCATCTTTTGCTATTTGTCGATCTTCAATTCGTTGTTGTCCAGCTACATTGGTTTGATGTAGAGTAATAACAATAGTAAAAACTCCCAACATCAGAGGAAGAAGAAGACTAGAACCACATTCAATACATTCTTTCAATGTTAAATCACAACAAAATTTGCGTCGACGTCGTTTTGGTATCTCTATCATTGTATCTTGATCTTTATCCATCGACATTTAGAAATAAAGTTGTTTTGCCTATCTTACAAAAACTATATATTCTTACAAAGCTCACTGTATTTTAAATATTTATTGAATGAGTTGTTTTCTTCTATATGTATAATATTTATATATGCAATTAAAAAAACAAAAAAGAATCAAATTTCGTATGATCATATATCGAGTACTGTATTTGTTTGACGTTTGATCGAAAAATATTTTTCTATTAATTTGAATATTGTTTCACTAATCAATTATTTGGCAATATCAAATTTTTCTAAAGATCATACTTCGAATAATAAGTACATCGTATGTATTTGTTATGTTAATTTTGTTTCTAATATGTAAAATCATCATTACTTACGAAAGAATTCGATCAACAATAATATTTGAAACTAACATTCAAAATCTATATTATAATATACAATGTTTCAGTTCCGTAACAAAGAACAGAAAGAAAAATATATACATATATGACTAGCCGACGATGAGCATCTGTGTACATTGTCCTATCATTCTATATTATTATTATTATCTGCCCATTCATTAAAATAAAAAAATAAAATAAAACAAAAGGAAAAAATAAGACATAATAAAATAAAAAAATCTATATTAAAATTTACAAGTTTTCTTCTGAGACTTTTTTTCTTATCCTAACTTTTTATATGTATGCCACACCTCATACGTAACTGGGAAAGTAGAACATTAGTGACGATGAAGGAAAGAGAGATATAGAAAGAGAATAGTTTAATACTCGAAGCGAACAACTGAATTCAACTTTGACACCACTCACGTTTTATCGAGTCAGTTTTCCCTATAATATGGAATCTTAACTCTTCACAGGGGCCTCTAGTATAGAGTTTAATATAGAAATTAATTATAAGATATTGAAATTTATGATGTAGGTATTCACATTCACACCCAGAATGGAAACAACGAAATAGTTTTCTGTTGCAAGTAGATAAATTGAATGAAAAAATAATCGATGTTTATTAATTGCATTCATCATCGATTAATATAGATACTCAATGTAATGTACTCGTATATGGAAAGTTTTAGATTTTATAGAAGAAGCTCGTTTTTTATTTTTTATCGAATTGGAAAACGTGTTACATTACTTTCAATTGTCAATAACCGTATATTTTTTATCTGCTGCTATATTATTTATAACAACTAATCGAGTTTCCAATGATTCTCGACTGATTTTTACAGTCAGAAACAGTATCTAAATATTACTACAAGCAAAAGATATCGATAATAAACATTCTCAAGATGATTAAATCAAATATTTTCGAATAAAAAATAAATACGATTTTTCTTTTAAAAAAAAATTAATATTAAAAATAATTGTATACACACTTATTCATCTTTTTTTTTGCATTATTAATGATTATGTAAAGTAAAGAACGAATAAAGGCCATATTGATAGAACACATACTTTGTATTTTTTTCGCTTTCGTGTCTTTAATGTACTTTTATATCGTTTTTTCTTTACATATGACTCAAGTCTATCGTATTAATATATTCACGTGGCGTGATTATGGGATCAATATATAACTGCATTATCATTTAATAAATTAATCGTACGAAAAAAGACAATATTATTATATTGAATAATGGTGAGTTAAATATTTAATATTCTATTACATAAAATAAATTTATAAATAGAGAAAAAAGATAATATTTACATTAAGAGAATTAGTATATCATTATTTTTTTTTTAGTTTTAAATTTGAAATAATGAATCGTACTATTATTGACCAATTATGTAATCAAAAGGTCGCGATCGAACTAGACGAACAATTTCTCACTTACAGCGAATTTATTTTCTATGCACAACGAATTGCTACTTATTTATTAGAAAATTTTAATCTTACACCAGGAGATATTATTTGTCAATGTATAGAAAATAATCTATCAATGGTAAGTGAATATAAAATTAAAAGAATATCTTCATTTTTCAATTATTCATTAGATGATTGGACTTATGTCGATTGAAATGATTGGCGGTGTTTGTTGTTCTCTTTCGTCTCAAGATTCTAATCAACAATTATATAAATTGATCAAACAAACTCAAAGTCATCTAGTACTTGTTCACTGGCTAACGCAAAACAAGATTAACGATGATACTACTACATTAAATATCGATTCAATGATTAATACTGAACTTAATCGATCGTTTGATATTCATATGTCATCAAACGAAAAAATACATGAATGTCTATTACAAACGAACAACAATTTATATCAAAATATGATCACCAAACTTTACATACCAAATATTCCAGATGATTCAATTATTCTTTTCGATGAACATGATAATATTATTTTTACTAGTCAATATACATGTCGCGAAATAATACATCGAATCAAAAATTGGGATAAATTAAAAGAACTCTTTGTTGATGATATACATACTGATACTATTCGTAATGATATTTCTCGATATATAATAGATACTGTAAAACAATTGAAACCAAATTATATAACTAAATTTATTCTAAAACTTTGCATGTATCGTAAATCATATATCGATGATTTATTACAACAATTAATGAATTTATTTCCTGATCAATTAATTATTCAAAATGATTCTGGTAGTAAAGATCCAGAATCTGATTATGATATTCGTATAGGTTCAACAGATGGTAGTGATGCTGATATAGATGCATGTGTTATATTTAATGAATTTTTTTCTATACATTGGTGTTTACCATCTGGTATTGTATTTGATACAAATCTATATCCTAGACATTTAAATACAATTGAACCTATATTTAATGTACAAGGGACTGGCTTAGGTATATATCTACATATACGTTGTGATTATCCATATTATTTCTTTACGGAAATTAATGATTATAAACAGAATAAAATGTCAGTAATTAAATTACGAAAATGTATGACTGGAAAAGAATGGCAACATTATATTACTACAATAACAAAAAATGATTCTGATCCTTCGTTAAAAAAATTTTTTTATAAAGCTGAATTAACCTATTGGAAATATACAAAACAATTACTTACACATATATCAAAACCAAATGAATTAATTAGTTGTGCATTAAATGAAATTACAAATATTATATCTACAATAAAAACATCTCAATATGATACAACTAAATTTGAAAATATATGGAATAAAATTGATTATGAAATGAAACATATTTTAATGGAACATAGTAATATGTTATTTATTTCATATCTTCGTCAAGCTCGTAATCTTGAAAGAGAAATTCGAAAAAGAAAAGATAGATATGAAGATTCGTTTTTACATCCTATACTTCGAATACCTCCAAGTGAAATGTTATATATTGATACACTTATTATCTCTATGCGACATAAATTTTCCAAAGCTGTTTATTTTGCTAATGATGCATGTGTTGCAGAAGGTTCATTATATTATGTTAGTATAGAACAATATAGTAATCATGCTGATGTATCATATGTTCGAAATAAAATCTTACGAACAAATCGTTTAACAAATAATCATTTATATCAATCAATTAATGAACAATATAGTAATTTTTTAAAAGAAATAAAAAATTATTCAAAAAAACAAGTTCATCATGGTCGAACTATTTATCGAAGTAGTAAATATTTATATCGTTTATTAAATACAATTACAGATTTAGGAACAAATAAATGGAATAGAATGGGATTTGATGGTAATCATCATATAAGTAAATTGGGATTAATTGTAGAAGAATTATTATTATCTATTCGAAAATATAAATATCCATTTGATGAATTCAATTCAAATTATCGTTCTCAAATAAGTGAATATTTTGCACTAGGTATATTTCCAACAGAGTCACAATTGAAAACTTTTTGGAAATATCGTAGATTAACATTAGATGAATCATCGGAATTATTTAAATATAAAAATTATCCATGGCCAATTATGCAAGTATTACATTATCAATCGAAAATTGAAGATTTAGTAATTCATGATTTAAAAACATTAGCTATTCATATACGTAATTATATAAATAATACTGATATTATTTCTAATATTGACGTTAATAATAATGAACAATTTGATGCTATATTATATATTATACAACAAAATTCTTTAATAATCAAACAATATACATCAACAATTCTTAATCTTGTCATTGATTGTAATCATAAAATTTATCATAGTTATATTCGTGGTATGTTCGATTATGTTCCTGATATAATACGATATTTATTTGATTGGAAAATAACACGATTTAATATTGTAATAAAATATACACGTCATAAAGAATATTCTCGTATTAAAAAATCGAAAGTATACGATTATATAACAATAAATAATTATATCATTGGTATTATATTTGGTATAAGATTAGCATGTATTCAGATGTTTATCATTGCTCCTATTATGTTCTTAATAGAACCTATACAAAAATCTGTTTGGATATTAAAAACTCTATGTAAAATCGAACAACCTTATGATCGTATATTATTACATACTCGCGCAGCATATAGAACATTAAATACAGGAAACATTACAGTTGTACATGATTCTAGAATAATCGATACAGGTATTACAATTCGCGATGCTTATGGTACTAATACGCAGATAAGTTATATTATTGGTATTCTACGTTTATTGGCTACTATCATAGTCAAAGGTATTGTTTGGTTTAGTTGGATGATAGTAATTACCGATCTTATCAGTGTAATTAATGTAACAGTATCATGGAAATATATATATATTATTCAAAACTTATATGTAGCATGTTTAGTATGTGTTTCTGTTATTGTTTTTGTGCTAAATACATGGACTACTATACGACGTTATTTATTATTGTATGATTCAAGAAATGCACAATATTTAGCTACTGTTAGAGAAAATCAAGGAACACGAGCATATTATCTATCGATATTATCTTATATTATATTTGGTATTATATTTAATATTGTTTTTAATTTATTAGATCTTGAAAATGAACAATGGATTAATATAACACCATTTGCACAAATTTTTAATAATCCAGTATCACATTTAAGTCCAACAGAACTAACAATACTTATCATTTTACAAGGAATAGCTATTACTTTAATTGATGTTATTAATAGAAATGCACGTGGTAACGAACGTCTTCCTGATTATGAATTATCAGATCGAAATAGAATTGGTAGAAAAGAATGGTTAAATTTTCCAGTTGGAACAATTTGTTCATTACTGAAATCAAGAAAAAATATGAAAAAAAGAGACTAAAAGAGTGCGATCTTGTATTCATATCTTTCTTTTACATTTTTTTCATCAACTCACACTTTATGAATAAATATCCATTTATTAATTTAAAATTTAGATTCATTTACAATTAACAAAAACTACATTCTTGTCTAAGACATATATTTACATAACATTTTGTATTAATTGTTAATTCGTATACTAAAAGTATACATGATAAACTATTTTTTCTGTTTAACTTCACTCGTTTGTTCATTTTCATTCGACTTTGCTTGTTTAGTTTCACCTGTTTGTCCATTTTTCTTAGACTTTGTCTGTTTAGTTTCACTCGTTTGTTTATATTCCGTAGAGTTTGTCTGTCCATTTTCATTAGAGTTTGTTTTTGTTGGTTTTTCTTTCTTTTCTTCAGCTTCAGCAGCATATTTACATCTTTGTCGTATTTTTGCGCCATATTTATAAAATAGAAATGGAAATGGTACACATACTAATGCTAAAAACGCTGGTACACATGAAGCCCAATGAATACCTAATGTATGAAACATTTGTGTTGTAAATAAAGGAAAAGCTGCACCAAAAATAGAACGTATGACACTATTAGCTGCTAATACAGAAGCTGAATAGATTGTATATGCATCAATTAAATAATTAATAATAGATATAAAAACTAAAACCATACCAAAACCAACTGGTGCACTAGCAATTATTGAAACAATCCAATGAATAGATGGAGAATTAGTCCATGCAAACCAAAATAATCCAATAGGTATAAAAATAGAACCAACCATAGCTGGTGGAAGACGAGCTTCTGGTGGTGCTTGTCCATCTTTACTTTTCTTTATAACACGTTTATATCGTATATTATCTAGTATTGAATACACAACTGAAATTATTATTCCAACTAAAAAACCCATAAAAGCCAAACCACCAATTCCTTCACTCCATCCTCGTTTTTCTTGATAAACAATTGGAAAAGCACCAAATAATAAATAAAGAGTTCCATAAATAATAGCCATATAAATCGAAAGAAGAAGAACAATTGGTTCACGAAATAGAAGAGCCCATGGACGTAATAATGAAGTTTTCAGAACTTTACTAAATTTAGTTTTTTCTTCTTCTTCGAATTTTGAACGATAAGTTTTACCTGTTCGTTTTGATAATTTCTTTGCTCTTCTACGTAAAAGAACTGGACTATATGTCTCTGGTAAAAAAAAACAAATAAGTATCCATATAACTCCAGTAAAAATAGCCATTACACCTTCAACCCAACGCCATCCTACAGTTTCACCAACAAATCCACCAACGACTGGCCCTAAACCTGGTCCGAAAAATGCTGCCGTTGTAAATAGAGCTAAAAAAACACCACGCTCAGAATCATCAAATAGATCAGCAATAACACCACCAGCATTCGTTAATGGAGAAGCACCAAATGCACCTGCAAAAAATCGAAGAATAACTAATGTCCAAATATTTTGTGATGCTGCCGCTCCAGCATTAAATGCAGTTAATGCAGCATAAGTTACGATGAAGAGTGGTCGTCGTCCTAAAACTTCAGAAAATGGTGCCCAAAGTAGAGGTCCAATTGCAAAGCCAAGAACATATAATGATATACCAAGCGTAATAACTTCATCACCTATATGAAACTGTTGTTTAAGTTCATTAAAGGGTCCTGTATAAGCTGAAGAACAAAATGAAATTGCAAGAGTTGCAACAGTGACAAGGAATGTTAAAAACCATTTGTATATGGACAACCATTTCATTGGATTTTCTGGATCATAACGAAGCCAATTAATAATATATGGTGAACTTTCATTTCCTTTGCCTTTATAATTTTCTTGTAAAAGTGTAGAAGTTCTTAATCGTTCACTTTTCCATGGTAAAAAAGATATAACAGTATCATTTTCTGAATCAATAAGAGTTTGATATTTTGAATTCTTTTCCAATAAATCAGCTAACATCTTGTATTTATATCAATAAAAATTATAATTTCCAAATGAATATTTTTTCAAATCAATATAATAAAAACAAAATTTATGTAGAATTCAAATACCAAAATAAATCGTATATATAATTATAAGTAAAAATAGTATTGTATTGTCTTCGTATTGTATGTATTAAATATGATTAAGAATAATAATACAAAATGTGTATATATTGATAGAGAACGTACTTTTCGGCCACACTTATACAAAAGCTAATTATACATAGGTGTATAATAATTAGAGAGTATACGGTAAAAGAAATGTACTTTACGTTTATACATAAACGAAACGCCTTGTAAAAGGCATGAGTTATGAGTATAAATAAAAATTATCAAGTGAGTAATAAACGAATAGTACAGTCTACAAATATGTCCTCAAATGACAAAAAACAAATCTGTTGAATTGTACTCAATAAAATATTCAAACATATGTACTCATTATACAAAAATATTTAATATATTGTTATTATTCATAATTAGAGTTTAACAAAAGATTATTTTTAATCAATATAAATACTTAATTTTTTAAATGTAAAAATTATTTATATTCATAATTTATCAAAAATCTTACCTTTATTTAGGATAAATAAACCTGTATATTGTTATGTGTATTATAACTGTTATCACTCCTATTTTTTTTTGCATAATATATTTTTTAACGATTTATTTAAAATGTAAATAAAATATCAAAATAATTAATCTAACAATGCAGGGTATGTGTGTGTGTGGGCATGAAATATCTATTATATCTATATTTAGACCGATAATTAAAGGACGATAAAATTACAGGTAAAGAAATAATATTAACTAATTCATATCGTGATAATGTGGATGAAACGTGAGAACGAAGAATGATTCAAACACCTATACACACATCCTGACTCATCCCGTAATGAATAGAATTCCTTGTGAAATAAATATGAATATAATTTCTGAATTTTAATTTGATTAGAATTATTTTCGTATTATGGAATCTCTACGTGAGTGTATGTTCTTAATTTTTTTTAATTTTTAAAGTTATACGTCAAAAAGACTTTGATCTATAAATAAATATTTAAAACCCTCAAGTTCAATATCTCATACAGTTTGTGAAATAATTGCGTGATTATTATAATTCGTAATCACAAAATTCAAATAAATCATATCGATTTATGTTTGTATGATCGATACATATATACGGTATTTTTATATTATGTCATATTTTTATTCTTCTTGATTATATTTCGACTGTATAGAAAAAAATGTATGATATAAGTTTAGTTGTCGACTGCTTTGAAAAAAGTAACCATATCGGTCAAGCCATAGATGTCTGCATTGTTAAAAGAAAGAAGATTGTCTTGACAAGCATTACTAAACCATTGATTCCATTCATCGACAAAATGTGAAGCTCGTTGTGCACCTTCCTCATTTGCAAAATATCCAAGACTAACATGAGGTGTATAAGCTTTCGTGTCAGTGTCAATATTTAAACGATCGTGGACTTTTTCATTCAACTGACTACGCTCTTCGGAAAGTTGCTCGAAGACGGAGATCGAGTTCTCATCAGGACGTAAGGCAGCTACAAGCACAGAATTGTTCCATACTTTGAGTCCATCAAAGCAGAAGTTTATATTCCAGTCACGTTTTAAACAGAGTGGTGATGTTGCAGGAAGATCAAATATACTTTTTGGCGTATTACAAAATGATTCTGGTAAATCTAACAACCATTTTTCAACTATGGAACGATATTGTGGTTCAATTTTTGTTACATGTCTGTCGTTTAATCCACCCCAAAGAGTAACATGATAAGTACTTGGTGGCAAGGCACAGAAAAGGAACTGATTGGTTAGAAAATTAATATTCAAACGCGTGATACCTTCATGAAGAATTGCATAAAACTTCAAAGCAGGATTATCGTTAACATCGTTAACAAGATCAAGCATTCCAGGACGACGTGATTGAAGACATTTGTCTCCTAGATTATTAAAAAGAACTGAAAAGCCATGAAAAGAAGCCCATTGAGTATTGAGGCCAGCAACCTTTCTATTAGTAATGTGCAACATGATATGAAAATGATGATTCTTTTCTTTGTCACTATCGCAAACAATATTTGCTTTTCTTTATCACAACGTTTTTATTAGTAATCTGCAAAACAAATACATATAGATATTTCGTTTCTATTAACAAGGAATTTATTTAAAAAAAAGCTCTATATATTCACAAAAAAGAATACCTATATGATCAATTAAAAAAAAACATACAAGAAGAACAAGATTGACAAAAAAAAGATTTTTTAACTTCATCTACCACAAGAATACATAAACAAGATGAAAATAAGAAATTTTTAAATAGTGACGTGTTGTATAAATAAAATGCAGAACCGAATACTTTTTTAAAGTCATGTCTATATAATCCATTAATTTTTAAATTCACCTTTTGAATGCATTGAAAAACATGAAAAAGGTTGTAAGGATTTCGATACGGATAGATATCGTTAATCTATTCATTCTTATATTTTCATAGATGCTAAAATCTATAATCTAATTGATAAAGATTCAACATGACTTTTTCTTTTGATATACATATATATTTTTATCCAGATAGATGAAATTCAACATTACTTGTCATGACATAGTCTAAGGCTATATACTCAGGCAGACATGATCTTTAAAAAAACGCGTCCAAACAGCATATATACGGCGTTTTAACGGTAGACCATTATAAAAATGCTGTTTTTACGAATTCTTAACGCGTTAATCACAGTAGACAACGCTAACGGAGATAAAAATCGTAAAAATGTGCGCTTTTCCGAATTTTATTTTTGTTATAATTTCAAAATTTCTACGCATATTTCTCCGTTTTTTTTGAGTTTTATCTGTCTGGGTACGAAACCAATAGTGAGATAATTTTAAAATAAAAAAAACACTCTCATTAATGTAATAAAAGTTTTTATGAAAGGATGTCTACATCTCTTCATTATATGTCAAAATATAGAAACGCTGCTGGATAGATCGTTAAGAACTATATTTTTGACAGTAAGAGAATTTTGTAATCTTCATTTTTTTTCTTCTAGTTTCAGTTGATAGTACAAAAATCTATGTCGTCAATGAATGCAAATACAGATCTTATTTTATTTTTTAATAATGCATCAAATTCTCTTAATTATTATCTATCAATTTTTATCATTATTTTTGGTATAATTGGTAATATTCTCAATATTCTTGTATTAAGTCAACGATCACTTCGATCAAATTCATCTGCTATTTATTTTCTTGCTTCAGCTATTGTCGGAATAATTGTTATTATTAGTGGTCTTATCAGTCGAATGTTGTCAGCGTGTAATTTAGATTTAACTTTAACAACTGATTGGATTTGTAAAGTCCGTAATTTTATTCTTTATAATTCAAGAACAATATTCTTATGGATGATTGTCTTAGCAACAATTGATCGATGGTTATCATCTAGTATTTCAATTAATTTACGATCAATGAGTAATTTAAAAAATGTACAACGAAGTATAATTATTATTCTTATCTATTCTTGTCTTATCAATATTCCAATACTCTATTGTTATAGAGCTAATTTAAGTGATATTCTACGTGCATGTTATGGTTCAACATATAGTTGTCGTTTGACAACAGATTTAATCTATGCATTTGGTACAGTTTTATTACCTTTATTACTCATGATTATCTTTGGTTTATTAACTATTAAAAATGTTCGTCATCTACAAAGTCGTGTTCATGCAATAAATGGTGTTATGATAAGCCTTGAAAATAAAAATGTATCGTCGAATAGAAGCGGACATCTTCCAGCAAAGAAAACAGATCGACAATTACTTAAAATGCTTCTTGTACAAGTCACTCTATTATTTCTATTTACATCACCACATGCAATTCAAAAAGTTTATTCATCATTTGCATCATCTCCTCCATCAGGATCATTAGATAATGCTGTTCAGAATTTTATCTTTACTATATTGACTCTTATCGCACTTGCCGCGAGTGGAACTCCTTTCTATATTTATACATTAACTGGTGGAAGTGTATTTCGAAATGCACTTCGTCATCTTGTAAAAATAGTTATTCAAAAATGTTATTATATGCCGATCAATAGACTAAATCGCATGAGAGAAACAAACTAGTGGAATTTTATATAATATTTAGAGTTGCAAAATTACAAGTAATGTCTTGATTTCGAAATAAATATTCTGATTAGTTCGAGTATAGTTATTGAGACTACAAGTTTTAGTTTTACCGAAAGAATTTCATATGTCATTGTTTAATATCATCATCATTCGGTTACAAACAGGCACGGTTTACAAGCAATAAAAGTATGGGAATATGTTCTGCGGTCAGTAAAAAAAAGAAAAGTAGACTATCTTTGCACAAATTTATATTTTTTTACTTTTCATTCCATTTTATTTACTGATCGTTTCATTTATTCTACTGACTACTTAAATGATACCCTAAAAATATTGTATCAGCAACCGTAAAGACAAAAGATTTATTTATTTTTTTGTTTAATAATTAAGCAGGTAATTTAATAGTACTGATCATATTTAATTTTATATTATCTATTTTATCGTCTCGTATTATTATTGTATCTTTACCATATAGTTTGTATACTAAGCGTTTGATTTTTTAATGAAAAGCTCTTGATATATTGATATAGATAAAAAACAATTCGCACAAAATGGAATATAATGAAACGTAAGTGCTACTCTAGCTACAAAATTTTCAATAGCTAATCGTAATAATGAATGTATTTAATCTTTAGTTGATGCAAGATAAACACCATATATTGACGGAATTAAAGAGAAAATAATATAGATTATATTATGAACATAAAGACAACGAAGTAATTGAAAATCTTTTCTATTCATTGATCGTATATGATGAACATTTTTAAAAGACATTAATATAACAGATGAACTATACTAATAGAAACATAAGCTAAACGTTATGAACTATATAAACGTGTATGAATATTTTGAGATGAAAGTAATAAACGATCAATAGATGCAAATATAAGAATAGCTGATAGAAGCCTAGTAAAAACATACGATGTATAAAATAAAAATTTACATAGATTAATATTGAAACCTTTGTATAAAATATTTACAAGTAAATCAAAATTTATATAACATAAAATGACAAATACATTTAATAGATTTCCAATCGTACCTATTACATATAGAGTAGGCATAATATATCGACGAAGACATTTTCGTATTAAATAGAGTAGTTTAATATATACTATTATCTTTTCTTTTTCTTGAAATAAAGAAAAAAAATTGATGGTTTCATGTAATAGTTTTAATTAAAATTTATTTGAATCAATAACAAGAAAAGTCACGTTTTTCTTCATTTTCGTAAATATTTAGTTATATTTTATATTAATCTCTTTTAATAGAACATAATAGTATTGCTTGCACGTACTAATATTTTAAAATATAATCTTTATTTGTGTATGTTAATCCTTAAAGAAATCAGAGTGTCATATCGAATATTATGGAATGTACAAATGATGTATTCCATTGAAGACTGTTTTAAGGGACATATGGAGCGGCCAGACATTCTCTTTCAGATGGTCTTCCAATATAAATATCAGTTAAAAAATGCAAAATAATTTATTATATTTAAACTCATTTAGTACTTGATGTGTCATTAGATCAACAAAGATAGTTATTATCTGTAGTTACTAATAATAAAGAATGAAAAGATTCGAGTAAGATAATAAAAAAAAACTTTTCAAGTGTTTTTAAATAAATACCTTTATTATCATTTCGTAAAAATAGAATTTCATTGGTTTATTATAACCTTAGAAACATAATAAAAAGAATTACCAATGAGAATTTTTGTAAGACAATTGATTTTAAAAGTTTTTAATATTCTAAAAATTAATTTCAGATATTATTTTCTTATAAAATATTTTAAATGATATACAAGGGTAAAAATTGGATTTATCGTTCTTATGAAAAGCATTTGTATTTTTTCACCTTGAGTGATCACTATTTACGATAGCAGCAATTAATAAAATCGATAAGAATACGTAGATATTCATCATTTGATTTTCTACAATTAACATCTAATTCCTAGGTGCACAAAGTGTATTCAATTCATCTGTATTCTTTTCTTTCACGATCCTCTTTTTTGTTTATTATGTAATACGAAAAAAAGAAAAAAAATTTTTAGTTTAATATTACAAGCACAAAAAAAAATATCCATAGTCGACGATTGTTTTCATATGACGAATGTTATTCATAATCATGTTAATCGACTTTACCTATAATAGAAAAATAAAATATGTTTATAAAACAAAATCGAACAAATTTTTATATAATATTTGACTTGAAAAAGACATGCCTGCTGACGACCTCTATATGAAATTCCTAAAAATGTCTTAAGAAGAATAATAGAAAATTGTTTTTCTACAACTCTTGTCGATAATTAACAGTACAAATACCTGTTATTGTTTAACGACGTTTGAAAATGGTGGATTTATTAGTGGTAGATTTTCCCATTGATTCATACTTATAGATTAAGTTTCTACTCACATATTGACCATTTATTTTTTAGCTCCAAATTGAATTGGACCACCGCCAAGTTTAGCTTCTTTTTTAGCTTTTTCAGCGGCACGTTTTTCATCTTTTGCCTTACCACCTTTGGGTTTATTTTTTTCAGATTTTGCACTTGGTTTAGGTTTAAATTCAGCTTTTGGTGGCATCTTGATAATAGTCGTAAATAGAAAATTGATCAAATAAACAAATAATCTTTAATCGAATTGTAGAAATCTAGAATAATAAAGAAAAAATATAACTTTCATCATATATGTATATATTTAACGCTCTCGACTATAAATTTGAAGAAAAACGTGCTTTTTTCGTATCTTGTGACTGCTTCGAGTCGATAATAGTATACAAATAAAAGAAAGAGAGAAGAAATGTAGCCGAGAGAAAAACAGACGCCTCTATATATATTGACTCCATACTGTATATATGGATCCATTGATTACCTCTACGTCATCGACGTTATATATACTTCTTTATAATATTCTATCCTGTAGATGCTTAGAAAACGATTGTATGGTGTGATTCTATGACTTATATTTCTTTTTATTCTTCTGTATCGTTTATACATGATATATGTTCATTTTAGTTGAATATCACCAACTTATTTCGATATTCTTCATGTCGTTTATATGTTGGAAATATTGGAAAAAAAAGATTTTATTATAAAGATAATTTTAGTGTGATAACTATATTGTATTGTATCTTTTTCATTAACTTAAGCATGCTATTTTGCAAGAGATTATGTGTTAGATTTAAATTCTTAGTTAAATTCCTTCTTCTTTTTTAAATTTTGATATCTGATTGTCAATCTATTAGCAATAAATTATAGGAAAAAAAATTGATTTAATTTAATTTGTATTTGTTAAGTTGGATTAGAGATATACATAGTGCCTTAGCAGGGGTGTGGTTGCCGATGAAACAGAGTACCCACATTCTCAAATTTTTGATATATTTTTAGAATATTTATTACACTGCGTTCATAGAAATTAAGAAAAGTATATTTGAGTGGTGATTATCATTGATTTGTAAGTCTCCTCAACGTATTCTACTCTATTGTTAATGATAGAGATATTCATTATTCAATACCCATGTTTTGTAAAGCAAGATCTAATAAATAATCATCATGTTGCTGTTCAAAAGTTAACTGTATTGTTTCAGCCATTAAATCATCCTCCAAATTCTAATTATATTAATTAAAATACTTCAATTCGTCGTATTTCATAATTTTTATTATGATATTCTAATAAAAACAAATCTGGAGAAAATTATTTCTCTTAAATTTTTTTATTTTCTTAGTTTGTTCAATTGATATTATATCTTTTTCCCTTGAAAAATTGATAGTAGGATGAGAATGATTAGATTTTAACAAGAAGGAGCAAGCCGACTTCTTCGTACTTTTTAGTACTTCAAAAGTGCAGGAGTTCGCTTGTTCCTCCTTGGGTTTTATTATAAATCTATTTATTTAATATTCTTAATAGGGATTTTTTCTATCTAACATATTCAATTAGTTAATAGTATTTTCTCTTTTAAAAAGTTTTTTTTTTAATAGAATTTAGTGAAGTAGATTTCTTCTCATAATCAGATTTGACTCTCTCTTGGATTACACGACTAAAGACTTGAACACGTTAAATTTGATCAAAATATTTCGAAGTATCTTTATGCAAGAATATTTTTTCTTCATAATTAAAAATTTGTAAACATTTATGTAAACTTTAACAATAAAAATCAACTGTTAAGCGAAGGAAATAATGAAATGAAAATTAGTAAAAAGCATTGAGGATTAGAGATGATTAATATAGTTTTTACTTCATACCTAGAGTACATTAGGTAAATTAAAAAGCTTTAATATTCTGTAGAAGCTTTCCAAAGTTAATTATAAAGCATCACCTTAAAATCCAGGTTTTACTATTCATGATAATACCTTTCAATTTCTTAAATGTCCGGATCGACCTTCCGGATTAATATTTAAATTCTATGTGTCTATAGATATTTTCAAGTTCATTTGCCTGTAATTATTGAAATAATCAAGTTTTAATATGTCATTATCTTATTATTTGCTTTTACATTCTTTTCGTCTGTTAAATAACCATTGTGATGTACATGTATATATAATTATTATTCTATACAATTACATCAAAGAAAAACTCATATTCTAATTATAAATGATAAAATTGTTAGCTAAAAGTATTCCGAAGAGAAGTATATATATATATATATATCAGCGGTGCTGTAAGGGTTAATTTTCTATGAACTGTATGTTAAATTAATAATATAAGAAGTTTTTCTAACAACTGACAAGAGCTTAATATTATAAAAGACAGATCTTATAATCAGACACATTTTTATCATAAAAAACAAGGTTCTTCTACATTTAACACACAAGTAGGAAACAGTAGTTGAATCAAGAGAATAAAATAAAAATGGATATTGATATATCACTAAGTAATTCAATCATTTTTATAATACTTGTGACAATAATGATTCCCTCAATCATCTGTTCATTGCTCATCTTTTATCATTTTGCTCGATTTCCACAAATTCGTAAAAAACTTAATAATCACGTCATTCTCATCTTATTACTTGTTAATTTTATTCAAGTAAGTCATCGATAGGTTGATTACATTATTTTTAATAATTTGTCGTATTTCTATAAAGGTAGTCATAGATATGCCATTAACACTAATTGTGCTACACACAGGATTCGTATTTATACAAACAGATGTATTCTGTAAATTCTGGCTTGTATATAATTATGCAGTGTGTGTTAGTGGTCTCACTTTAATGGCTTATGGATGTATTGAACGGTATTTTCTTATCTTTTATCATGGATTTTTTAAGAAACATTTAATCTTACTTCATTATGGACCAATACTGTTCTTTCTTATATATCCACCTTTGTTATACATTGGATTAATCGTCATATATCCTTGTGAATCCTATTTTGATTATACGTTATTTACCTGTGGCGGTTCATGTTACCAATATGAGGTATGTATAATTTATTTTATGTACCAGTTCACTTAAATATTGTTCCTGATTAACATAAATCGTCTTAATAGTTTTATTATAATAAACGAAGTGCAGTGTAGTCTTTTTAGAAAAACTAAATGTATTTTATACTCAAGAAAAATGTTCTAATTAGATTATTTTTTATTAATAGGTCGCTCTTGGTTTATTTGATTGGTTTTGTAATATATTTACACCGATTATTATCAGTATTATTGCAACAATAATTCTTATCATTCGTGTACTTCTCCAAAAACGTCGTGTAGGTCAACGTGCTATCTGGCAACGCAATCGTAAAATGGTACTTCAGCTAGCATCCGTTTCTCTTATGTATATCATCGTTTGGATACCAATTATCGTTGGTTTTGTAATTCCACCTATTATTCCAAATGCATTTATTCTTCAATTATCATCGGCTGTGTTCATTTACTTCGAATACATAAGCTTTCTTTTTTGTCCATTTATGTGCCTAACTGGATTGCCTGAAATACGTCAATCTATCAAAAACATATTTATACGAAATAATATTATACAACCGACAATACAAATAAAATAAACTCGAAGTGTACATGCTGCTTTAATTATTCGATCTTTAGAAGTATCTAGTTTTTTTGAAATAACTTCATTTACTATGATCATATTTACAATAAAAATTTCATCTATCATAACTATTGAATTTTATTATTCCAGATAAATTCTAATTCAAATTAGTTGGATACTTATCACTGTTGAGTTCGAAAATGGTTTTGACAAAAATTTAAATTTATCAGAAATTCTAAAAGTTTAAAATATTTATAAACCGGGTTGAAATTGGTAATTTGACAAGTCTAGAAATTCAAAACTGTCCACATGTCTACTACAAATTCGTGACAACAGTGCTTTTAAATTTTCGGTTGAAAAATTTATAATTTATAAATCGTCTACTTTCGGACTGAACAGTGATGCTTATCCTATGTCACACTCATTTAAAGATGAAATAAAATTTGCTCAATTCGATAGATTATGAGATATATGTGTGTAATATTGATGGCCTGCTAAACACACTAATGATTCAGATTTATTGTGCCTCACTTCTTCGTTTAGAAGGTTCCGACAGCTTATATTATGTTCGACGCTCTTTTGATCTTGCACAAAAAAAACACACTGAGAGAACATTATATATATATAGATTTGAAGCTTTTCCTTTTTTTAAATTTTTTATAAACGACATGTTATTGTATATTCCAACGATGCAGTCTAATTTAGTTATTTAAATTATGACTAGGTAATGAAATGAAGGAAAAAGTTTTTATTCTTTTACAGATAACTAACGATAGTTTCTTGTTTTTTCATTTATACAATAAATTTACAGTGACATTTATATAATATTCTTTATTCTATTCATCGATAGTTTTAGAGTTCATGGCTGATATTGTTTGCAATGATAGTTCTATTAATGATATTGAAGACGATTGCACAACATTGGATCCAAATTTACAAACATCCGTATCAGCAACAGTTCGTTTTTGGATTCTTGTTTTTTTGGAGATTCCATCTATTTTCTGTTCTATTCTTTTACTCTATAATCTTTATTTCGATCGAACATTACGTAAAGTACTCAATAATCATGTTATTATTGTTATTCTCATTGTTGGACTCTTCTCACAAGCTACAGATATTTCTAATTATCTTACGTACGTTCGTCTTGGCTATATCTGGCCACAAACAATAGTAAATTGTTATATTTGGTGGTTTGTAGGTGCAACTGCTTATAGTCTATTGGGTATGTTAATGGCATGGACTACAATTGAGAGACATATCATAATATTTCATCATCAATGGCTTAATACTCGGAAAAAACGTATTTTTATTCACTATATTCCGTTAATAAGCATTATTTTATATGCTTGTATATTTTATATTGTCTGTGTTTTCTTTGTATCTTGTGATAATACACCAGATTATACACAATATTGGTGTTACGGTCCATGTTATTTGGGAGTATTTGGCCCTAATATATTTGATACATTCGTAAACGGTATATTGCCATCTATTTTAATCATAATTTTTAATATTTTATTAGTTATTCGTGTTATCAAACAAAAACAACGTCTTCGTCAACAAATACATTGGCATAAATATCGACGAATGATTATACAAGTACTATCATGTTCATTACTATATCTTTTATTTAATTTTCCTCTGATGAGTATGTATCTTACTCTGATATTTGGTGTACCGTATGGTTCAACTGGTGAATTTGAAGTATTTGTATATTTTTTTTGTTATTTTATTCCAGTATTAATGCCATTCGTATGTCTTGCGTCATCAAAAGAAATTTGGATAAAAATTAAAAAAATCGTGACAACTAAACGCACAATAAATAGAGTTGCTCCACAAGCATTACAACTTAATAAATAAACACAACTCAATAAAAGCGAACAATGATTCTACACAATGTGACAAAAAGTGTAAGATTTTTTGATGGAAAATTAAGTCAAATTTTGTTGTAAGGACATTTTAATATGGGTCAAAAAAAAATTGTCATACATGATCTTTAAGAGAGTATATTTTATTAATAACTATGCCACTTCGTGTTTAACTATATGAACAATAATAAAATGTTACAAAAAAATTTTTCTTTTATTTTTATTATATGCTTTAGAAAATGTTAACGTACGTTTTAATCATCATTATAATGGTTGAATGAATGGCTTATGGAATCATAACTTTATTTTTAACTCTTCTCTTCTAAATTTTTTTATTCTTTTGATGTTTTATTAATTATATTTTTCTAAATTATATCCAGTCTCTAACAATGACTATTCATTTGAGAGAATATACCAAAGGTAGATTATGCTATATTTAATGAAGTCGAATCTTAAGAGAATCTTTTATTTCAAATTGATAAGACAATAAAAGTGATGTTTTTTTTATATTGAAAAGTTTATTGTGCATATGTTTGTTGAACAGGATTGTTCACTCGCATAGATGATATGATAGCAATTGTTTTAAAATTTTCTCTCTTTGTTGTTGTTGACTGAGTTCCAATACGATTATTAACAGGTTGCTTCATACGAAAGAGTGTACGTAGAATTACCATAAGTTCTTGTCTATAACATCGATTACCAATCATATATATAATAAAACTTGAACTATTAGAAGCATAAGTTAATATTTGAGTAATATCGGCCACCAAGAAAAAGAGTGGCGTTGTTTTATAAGAAACTGGCAGTACTGCTGACAAATATGTTACACCGACTGGTAAATTAAGCATAATATAAATGCCTACTTGTAATAGAAGCATACGAATAAGTTGACGTTCAGTACGTCGATGTTTTGATACAACAACTGGAGTGACTCGAACTTGTTTCAAATTTCGCATTGTTAAATAACCGAATAATCCCATTAGGAATGGCGCAATAATAGCATATAACATAGCTTGTGTGACTACATATATTTGATTATAGATTTTGCCATCTGGAATTTGGCATCCAAGGCCATTATTTGGATTGGCAGTAATCAGAACAAATGTATTAATACCAAAAAGTATAAAAAAACCAACAATACATCCAATTATCCAACGTGAAATACGAATACTGCTAAAATTTCGTAGATAAACACTTGTTGAACTGGAAAAATATCGTTCCATTGAAGCAAATACTATATTGTAAGGTGAAATGTAAGCAGTAACATGAAATACATATGTCATAACTTTGCAAATCATTATTGAAATAGTACTTGGATCAAGTTGATAGCCAGTCACTAGTAGCTGATAAATGAGTACAACACTTGAATAAATTACACTATTGATAGATGCAGCAAGTAAATAACGAGAACAAGCATGAGAATAAAATACAGGACGTAGAAGTACAGCAATATTAAGTGAATTACCTACAACACCCATAATAATGATCATGGGAAGAGTAATTCGAGTTAACTGAGCACCAAGTGAGATTAATGGATCAGTCATATTCGCTGTGCTTATGTTTCAATTGAAATGAACAAGTTTTTCAATGACAATTTTTTTTTCTTAACAAGTATTAAATGAAAACATGTTCCCGTATATATACCAATAAGTTCTTTAGAAAAAACTGCGCATTTTCTTGTAAGCAGATTACATCTTGTCAAAATGTCAAGATGAATGATATGACGTACAATTGAACATTATTCTGTAGAAAAAGATTATGATTAGCTTACTTATATAAATTTTGACACATTATATTACCTAGAAGTTGACGTACTCTAAATACCAATAGATGCGTAGAAAAAGATTTTTTTTTCAAAAACGCAATTCAACAAGGATTAAAAACCCACACATATTTAGAAGAAAATCAACAACGTATATACTATTTCATTTTTCTGTTACAATCTGGAAAATATTCCAATTGGAAAGGCTTTACTCAAACATTACCAATGACAGTTATTAATGGATTAGCTTATACTCTAAAGCAGCTCTGTAAAAAGATTATTAAATTTTATTATTGTATAAAGTCATACTTTGTAGATTTTGATCGTTTAAGGATAAATCAAATGGAACACTTGATTGTAGTGAACCATATTGTGAAATGAATCAAGTTTTTTTTCTTCTTTTTTGACGAAATAATGAGTGGATGTATTACATTTATCTTTCATTAACAAACATGCTGATGATAAAATTATCACTAAATATTTAAAGTGTAATTCATAGTAAAAATAAAAATGTTGTTAAATTTTTTTTTACATATTTCATAATATTTGCTATTTTGTTAAATACAGGATTAACATTTAAAAACAAATTCCATCTTATTCATATAATTTTAAGAGAGTATTCTCTTCTCAATAATATTCAGTTGTAACACTTGGTGCTGATGTAAATATTATCATTCAAAACCGTATATAATGTATTTTTTATATTAAATATTTATTCTTTTTAGTCACTTGCAATAGAATCATCAATACTACAAGATTATATTTTATTATTCATGATTCGTTAATTTCATTGTAGTTTTTTTTTAATATTATTTTATTTTATTTTTTCCACTTTTTTGCCATATTATAGATTATGTTCTATAACATATTGTAGAAAACCTTTCTTTAAAACAAAACAATGGATACTATTAATACTTAACAAATAACGATTAGTCGTCGAGATATTTCTTCACTAAAACAAATTATTATTATATTTGTATTATTTATTGATGGATGGAGTTCGATTTATTTAACTGTAATTCTTGATTTCTTTGTTTATGTTGATTTAGTAGGATTTCAAATGATTGTCTTATTCGGTGAAGTTTGTTTATTGAATATAATGTTCTATTTATTTATATATAATTTTAGATTAAGAGGATATTTATTAAATAAATTTCGATTTTTATGTAAGTCATTTTTTGAGTGTATAGAACATTTGAATAGAGTGACCAAGCTATTCGTCAAAGAAGAATTTATTTTAGAGTTAAAAAACATGTGACAAACAAAGACTAAATAAAGATAAAATATAATAAATAGATAAGAAAAAAACGCATTTCTTTTTATAACTTCATTTCTAACTGTAATTTATTTAACAATAAAAAACAGTTTAGCCAAATTTTCATTTGATAGTATAACGAAATCGTAAGTCTTACAATATTTTTAATTTATTCATACATCTTCTTTTAATATACATTATTGATAAAAACATCCTATTTAAGAATCAATTATATCTATTCATACATTTTTATTAATGCATGTTATTCTTTCAATTTACTTAACCTTTATCTCTTTCTTTTTTCTTTGAAATATGTGACCGATTGAACTCTATTCTGTTAGTACATGTATACAGAATTTGTGTTTACAAATTTCAACTAATCGACGATGATAAAGGTCATATATTTTTATTCATTTTTATGATAAACTTTATCTAAAATATACTTGTGATGTTATATTGCTCGCTCATCGAAATATTTTTCTCTTCAGATGTCTAATTCAAATTCATTATTAGTGGTCATATTCTTTCTAACAATAGTTAATGGTTTAGCTCAGAGTTATCCAGAGACTTACTGTATTCGTTTTGATACAGACGTAAAAGGTGCTAGCAATCCTATAATTATCAATATAACACAAAAATGGGCACCACTTGGTGCAAATCATTTATTTGATGTAATTAATTCGCAATTTTATCATGTACCTTCGGCTTTTTTTCGTGTTGTTCCTAAGTTTGTTGTTCAATTTGGAATTAGTGGTGATCCAGCGCAAAATAAACTTTGGGATAAACCTATTATGGATGGTAATTCATATATTTATAATAATATCTATTGCAAACGTTTGTTTTTGTTTTAACAGATCCTGTTTTAATGTCAAATACTGTTGGTACATTATCCTATGCAACTGCAGGTCCCAATACTCGTACTACTCAATTATTTATTAATTATATTGATAATAGTCGTTTAGATCCATTGGGTTTTGCTCCTTTAGGTAAATATTTTATTTTTACATAATTCGAATTAACGAATTTCCTTTTTGTCTAGGAATTGTTACTACTGGTTTAGATACTGCCAATGCTATTTTTAATCCAACTCCAGGTAAACTATTAAACTATAATAAATGGTTAATTACTTAGAGTTTATCTCGTTGATATTATCATTTGTAATAAGCTCAAAATTTTTTCATATATACATTAAAGACGTTTTTCGTACTTGAGCTAATAACAAATTATGTTTAAAAGATATGAAATAATAATTTTCGAACAGAGAGAAAATTTTATTTTTAATTGATATTATTCAATTCTAATTATCGGCAATACATATTGTAATATATTTGTTATCTTATGTATATATAGGTAGTAGTGATGGTGTCGATCAAAATCAATATTCAACAAAAGGCAATCCATGGATTAGACTTAATTATCCTCAAATTAATTTTATTACAAAAACTTCAATAACATACAATTGTCCTGTACCGTCGAATTGATTTTAATTTGGCTGATATTATTATCATTACCATTTAAATTATTCATTTAATTATAAAGAAATATTTCTTCTGCTTCTAACATTTACAAATTCATATTCATTTTTCTATAATTCATTATTTAATAAAAAATAAATATACTAAATTATTATGTATTACCAATTGCCTATATAAAATTTCATTTCTCTGATTTATTGAATGAAACGATCAAATATTTACTATATTATTTCATGTAATTTTTTTACTACGATAATACAATATAATAAAAACCATCTTGAGGATGGATGTGAGTGTGAATGAGAGGTAAATACAATACCCACCGTCACCCACATCCTCGAGAAGCAACAATAAATACCAAATAACGTTAAATATTTGACTTTCGTTTAACTGTGTCTCCTAAAAAATTTCCAACAAAGTAGTATTGTTATCACCAATCTCTGTTAACAATATCTTTCGTTTTTATCTCAGTCTAGAAAGAAATGAAAATTTGTAATCTCATTCGATTCTTTCTATCAAGCACACATAACAACACAAAAAGACAAGTGGGTAGCTTTTTTATACTGCTAATACATGTAGTTAGTCAGCTTGTAGTTTCTTATTTCGTCATCAATATCATCTTCAAGGTGATGGATACTAATCGTGAGTATTCTATCTGAACATTTCTCTCATTCTTGAGGGCAACAGCTTCAACTCGAGAATATGACTCAGAATATGTTTACAGATATGAATTTAAGTTTTATATTATCTCTTGACATCTTCGCTCAGACATAAACTCACTTTCTCACTCTAGTCTATATCCAGAAGATGGCTCCCTCAGTTCGTGCATTCTCTGAATCTCATTAATCTCTTGAATTCATTGAGCTGTACGAGCTCCTTATATTTCTTAAACCCTTTCTATTTCATGAAATACCTGAATCCCTTAGCATTCTGTTTTTTTGGATTTCTTGAGCTTTCTTAATAAGACAACTTTCATCATCATTATTTTACACTTTCAGATAAAAGAAACAAGTGAAATAGTTGACGTTGTTTATCATCAAAAGCAAAAGAAAAGTATTAAGAGTTATGGGTACTACAACATCGACAACACCTACAATATTGATCACACCAACAACAACAAACTCCCTAAAAACTATTGAATGGAAATGGCAATCGAATCCCAATCCATGGTCAAAAACTGAGCCACCAACATGGAGTCAGTATTCAGATATTGAAAATCTAATTATCGAAAGAGCCTTTTCTCATAACCAACCACGAGCTATTTTGGATGATTATTACATTGATTTTAAACATTATCTGCAAATACTAAACAGTGATAATAACAAGCAGAGATCCGTAAAAAGAATTGAACGCAATAGAGAAGACAAACATTTGAGAGAAGAACGCTTCGTGGACCTTCCACTTGCATCGGATCGTTCATTTGGTGGTCAATATGGTTGGGTATCGCCATTTATCGTAGAAGTCAGAAGATATTTGGGCCTAAAATTAGATGCGCTTCCTTCCAAAAAACCAGGTATGATACCAGGCCTTGTTGAAAAAGCTGCTAAAGGTATTATCGAAGAAGGCAAACATATTGGAAAACAAAAAGAAGCTGAAGAATTTGCTAAATGCCTTCTAGAAAAAAAGGATAAAGCAATTGAAGAAGTATGGCAACGCTGTGTTTATCTTTACTCGTTGGAAAGCTTCCTATACAAAACTTTGAACGCAAACATGAGATTAGTTGGAAGCAAAGAAGAAGAACATATCTGGCGGCATACAGTTCAAACACTAGGTCCATTTTGCTTATTACTTTGGGATGATCCATATAATAAAAAGGTGAAAACTAACATTGAACTTTATCGGGGAGCCAAACTCAAACCAGAACAGATCGCTGTTTATAAAAAAATGGCCAGGAATAAAAAAGAGTATGGCTCTTTCCAAGGATTTTCATCGTGTAGTCGTAATCGTGAAAAAGCAGAAGGATTTGGGAATACACTATTCATTATGAAAGTATTGTTTGCATTTATTGCTGATATTAGTAAATTATCGGAATATCCTAATGAAGAAGAAGAACTTGTGACACCAGGTGTATGTTTTCGTGTTCTGCGTGTCGAAGAGGAACCTGAGAAAGGCAAACATTTAATCTACTTGGAATTAACACAACGTTTTTCTAGTAAGTGACAAAGATGTATCGTAATATTTATTATAATGTGAGAAGCATTTCTTCTCAATATTGTGTTTGTCAGCATATATGTTGTATTAAAATGAATTTAGTAAATGGAGTTCTAGTTTCGCATAGTCACGTTCGCAAGTTCTACCTAACACGATTACTCGTAAATGATTAGCGCAATGCTAACTTTCATTTGGTAATAGAACTTCGAATGCATCCGAAAAATTCTTTAGTGCAAAATAAAGAAAATATTTCTTCTTTTATTAACGTTACAAGCTTCCTTTAAAATCGGTCTCATAACAGTTTACTAATATATTTTGTCAAATCTACAGTGAATTGTGTCAGATCACGAGGGATATAACAGTCTAGTAATAACTTATCTTTTATATATACTGATATGAATATTTAAGAAAGTTAAATCATCGAATTAATACAGATATTTCTCTAAAAAACTTATTTTCATTTTTATTTCTGACGTTTTGTTAAACTCGCATACCACCGTATCTTAGACAATCTTTGAAAAGCATTCTGTTATTATATCATCTCATAAGAGATAATTGGACAAATTTATATTCTCTACTTGTAAATATTGAAAACTTATTTTAGAGAAGCAGGCCACAATTCCAGTGACAAAAAGATTAACTTAATTGAGCGTTGAAAATCTTGGTGATCTAAAAATGATTTACTAACTACTAGGTCAAAATAAGATTTATGCTATTTCTCATTTATAGTCAGTCTTTAAGGAGTTATACTAAGCTTTATATTTTTGGTTTATGCTCATTTTATTGTCACACTCGGAAGTGCTTACAATAGAAAGGAAAATTAAAAAAATAAAGCACAGGAAGATAGAAGAAAACTACCTATATGAAGATATATCTAAAGCGTACAAAAAGTAGGAGGAGAGAATAACTTATCTAGTTATATTGACTAATACAATGTGGGAAAAAAGGGAGGTGACAATACATGCAAATATTATATGATGAAGATACCTTCTTTACTAGCTCTTCCGATCATTTTCCTCATTAAAAACTAACCACTCAAGTAGTATAGGTCGGTGTCTAAGTTTTTGTTTTTTAACACGGTTCAACAAGAAAAGGTTACCTAATCCATCTTTTGGTCTCTTGTGGTAATCGTCCCAGTAGAATACGTCCTCGAGGAAAAGTGAAGAACCGAGATCAGAGATATATAATTTCTTCAGTCTCTTCGTTATGTATCTTTTTACATAGTTTTCAAGAGGTTCTTCTTTGGTTAGACTGAACAAATCTTTTGTACTAACATAAGGGGCATGATGGACTAAACGCAACGCTTTCCTGTATTTTCTTCTGATGAATTCTTGATAGGTTTGAGGGAGAAGAGGGTAAAAAGGAAACAACCAGGCAATGTGCGGAAAAACGTAAGCGAAGAAACATCTTCTTAAGGCATCTTTAGAGAGGGTTTTTTTACATCTCAGCCATTTTAGCTTGTTAAGGGAAACTTGTATGTTCTCTAGACTTCTCTTGACGGTGGGTTTTAAGGAAAGTTTACTCGTCCAAGTAAAGCCGAGGTACTTGAACGAGTCTACTAAAGCAATTTTATCCCCTAACATGAAAATGTCCACTTTAGGTCGAGTAAACTGGGAGTAAAAAACCTGTGCTACAGTTTTTCCTACATTGATCGGTTGTTTCCAACGCCTCGAGTATTCAGCAATCCTATCGCAGACTTTGCTTCCTTCAACCCCTAAGTACTTAACAAGGTCTGAATAGGATTTCTGAATAGGTGCCCTAATAAGCACACTTAAGTCGTCGGCAAAAATGTGCCCTGAGTGCGCTCCTAGACATGTGGTTAAGTCGCTATGATAAACGATAAAGATAAACGGGCTCAAACTACTTCCTTGAGGTAGGCCAACCCGTACCTCGAAGGTATCTGAGATCGTTTGCCCATAGCTGATACAGGCTTTACGATTTTGGAGCCAGCTGTGGATCATATTTAGGAGACCCCTAGGGATGTTAAGTCTCTGCAATTTGACAAGGAGGCCTAAATGCCAAACAAGATCGAATGCCTTTTCATAATCTACATACAGTGCAAGGGTCGGGACATTGGCAGCAAGGTTGTTCGATACCTCCTGGTAGATCGAAAGTACCCTTGTAGGTAGAAGACAATTAGCTCTGAACCCTGACTGTTCATTGGGAATTAAACTGTTCCCCTCTGCCCAAAGCCTAATGCGATCGAGCAGAATCTTTTCGAAGATCTTTGAATGGGTTGACAGAAGAGATATTGGTCTGGTCTGATTACAACGAGGGATCCCTGATTTAAGTTTATTGAGCGTGACGATTTTAGAAGTTTTCCAGCATTCTGGATATCTTCCTTCTTTTAACCAACTATTAAAACAGGTTACAAGAAATTCAATGTAGGAGGGCGGTAGCAACTTGATAATGAAGTTGGATACTTCATCTAATCCTGAGGATTTCTTATTCTTCATCTTTTTAATAATTTTATGAACTTCTTTTTTATTAGTAGCTTCTAGACCTAAATCCGTTGACGTATTAAGTACGTTTATTATTTCCGCATATTCTGTTTCTATTTGTAAATCGTGATTATTCGCTAAGTTGATATCTGGTGTTTTAGCTAAGGTGTTAAAGTGTTTGTACAGCTCCTTTGAGATTTCTTGTTCATCGCTTATGATTTTAGTTCCTACATGTAGTTTAGAAAACGGTAACGTTTTGCGTTTGTATATCTTGGAAAGATGTGCCCAAAAGGTATTCTCTTGTCTAACATGAGAACTTTGTATAGAGGATAAAAAACTTATCCATCTCTCAGTTCTATATTTATAGATTTCGTTTCTTACATCTCTGGTCATAGTTCTTAACAATATTCTTAGATCTTCATTGGCAATACCGACTATTTTTCTTTCTCTATAATATTTATTTCTCACTTGACGTAGGTCTCGGAGTCTTTCAACAATATATGAAGGAAGTGATGGACGGTATTTTTCTATTTCCTTCCAACATGTTAAACGACTTTTTAGCGCCGCTAAAAAACGTATATAATTCTGATACCAAATATCAACAGAGACTTTACTAAGTTCATTCATCCAAAAATCTTCTAGAAGCACTAGTATAGTCTGATAGACAGACCAATCAATATGGGGGAAGAAACAATTTGAGGTAAAACCTATATCAGGAGAACGTACAACGAGTGGCCAATGGTCACTTGTACCGAAAAAGATTGTTTCACAATCAGCTCTATTTAGGTTAGTAAAAGGTAGATCAATATGTCTGTTTGATCTTTTCGAGGAGTGGTGATTAGTTGGAATGAATGCAAGATCCGTATCTTCTATCCATTTCATTAAAGTTGTTCCACGTGGATCTGTATATGGACTACACCAAACGTCAGAGGTAGCATTGAAGTCACCTATTAATAAGGTTCCTTTTATTAAGAAGGGCGAAATATCATTTAGGTTACGTTTTTGTCCTTGTGGCCAATATATACCAATAATTCTTATTTGTTCTGAAAGTCCAAACACATCTACTATCACTGTGTTTTCAATATCAGTATCTATTCTAGTTGCTTTTAAATGTTTACCTATCAATATCATAACACCCCCGCTATGGTTGGTGCCTTTTTGATGGAATGATGAAAAATGAGGAACTTTAATGGTATCCCAAAGCTCTCCTACTTCAGTGAATACGCATATAGGACTGTCAACTTTATAAATTAAGTCTATTGCTTCTAGAGCTCGTGTGCCCCAACCTTCAACATTATATGTAAGGATGTTCACGGGTGTAAATTTATTACGAGACGGACATGGATTGTTTTCCCAATGAGACAAGACGTTATTAAGAGTAGAAGAAGAAAACCAATCGCTCAAAATAGGTACAATTCTTTTTTGTGTTTTAAATGGAAATTTCCAACTATCTAATTTACTAAGAGCATTTTCAAAAGGTGATTTGATCGAGGAAGATAAATGATCGGAAGAGCTAGGAAAGAAGGATTGAGCATGAACATTTAAAGAAGAAGAGTACTTATTAGGCATTATCTGTGAAAACGTTCATAGGCGAGAAGTTAGTAGCTTCCGTTGTTGTGTTGCTTTCGTCGTTGTTAGTGTTATCGATAATATGTTGGATTACTTCTTGGTTGGTAGTTGAGTGTTCAGATGCTTGGTGGTCATTGGTTGGGTTTTTGTTTTTGTTCGAGATAAGTTTTCGTTTCCATTGCAGTAGGTCATTTATTGATTTATTGACGTCTTTTTTAATTTTTGTTCTTTCATTTTGACTACCTTGCACCCATTTTGATAACATGTGGACTGATTCAATAGTTGCACAGATGTTGTGATGATATAATGACATACGATCGTTTTGAGTGTCCAAACGTTTATTGAAATCGATAAAATTTTTTTCTAGACGAGTCATTGTTTCTGTTAGATTTTTAATAGAACTTACAAGTTCAGTCATATCATTATTTGAGGATGAAAATGAGATATCTTTATCAGTTGTGTGCCAAGCTGTGCGGCTAACTGTTTGTTCCTTGTGTAAAGTAGGAAATTCTTTATGATGTAGTTGGAATGGACGTGGTAAATTATCCACCAACGGTGGTCTTTTGATTACACCTGTTGATAATGCATTATCCACTGCTAATTTCAGTTCATCTTTGTATTTTTTAACAATAGGACAAATAGCTTCGAGTGAGAAATGGTTCTCACCGCATTGAGCACAGCGTAAGGCATTATCTTGACATATATGTTTAACACCATTGGTGTAAGGAACTAAGCATTTTCCGCAGCAGACTGGAAATTGACATTGACTACGCATATGACCGATTTTCCAACAGGCGGTACAATATGTCATACGATAACTAGTATGATAATTTGTCAGTGGAAGAAAATGTTGCCCAATGGCAATACGACCTAATTGTAAAGCTGTTTGATATTGTTCAAGATTGTGTACTGAGAAGCGAATATCATAAGATGGACGACGACGTTGTTGATAGTTGATTGATGAGAAACTAACTGCACTTGATATTGATTTTATAATTTCACTTCTTGCAATTTCGTAGTTGACCTCGGTTGGAACATAGCGGACCACCAATGAGTAACAATCTGGAAGATAACGTGGTTTAGCAATCTCTACTTTTTTGTTTTCAATGTTATCTGGCCAAGTCCAATTAAATAATGTTAAAAAATCAGCTTTATCTGATACTGCAAATTTAAATCTACGTTCACCAGCTTGAGTACATAGCGAAAGATCTTTTATATGTAATTGAGAATTGGAGAATAGTTTCTTCAGCATAATAGCTACTTGAATACTAGACGGAATATTGTTGATTTCGATAGACTGGTCAAATGTAATAAAGAAGCAAGGCAAGTTGTTTGAAACAGCACGTTTAAGTATGTTCATATTAAAGGAAAGTTGTCGTGTGTGAGTAGAAAGAGGTGATGGTGGTCTGAGGGTTGGTTGTTGAGGTTCAGCTTGTACATAAGATGATTGATTGTCGTCGTTATTTTTCTGCTTTTTGTTGTTGTTATAGCTTGAGCTACCACCCACGTTGTCAAAGCTATCACTTGCTGGTCGTCTTGTAGTTGATGATGAAACAGGAGTACACTCTTTTTCCATATGTGGACATACTTTTGAAACGATAGGTTGCTGTTGGATTTGTTGATGATTCATAATAGGAGGAAAGGAAGGAGAAGGTATAGAAGTTACTGTGTCGATAAGCGGACGGTTATCAATCGGCTGTGTACGAGATATATGTTGTGACACCCCTGGATTAATGACATGTTGTTGTTTGTCAGAAGAAGAAGAAGAAATTTGTGATCGTTGAATGAGTGCAAGTCCAATTTGATGTAGTTCTTCTTGGGAGAATCGATTAAAGAAAAGTGATAAGTCGGGAGCTGGAGGTATACTGTGTGCCATAATGGCACTCAGATGTTGTTGGATAAAATTTAGTTAATTAGGTGAGATTTTAAAACCAACACCAAATAGAAGAAAAGAATATATATATATATATATATATAGAACGAAAAGGTAGCAAGAAGGAAAGAGAAAATACGTCTTATCCCTATAGTGTATAAAGAAGAAGTGACTAAGCTTTATATTTCTTGAGAGTAGATATGGATGCCGGTATGGATATTGTACTCTTTTCACATCGATAACTATCTCACATTGTCACCCACACCCCAATCAACACTAAATATCATGGAAATCAGTGCGCCTAATAACGTGAATGATACTGAGTGTTAGTATTTTAATAACCAATTATCCTGAAGTTATCAATGTGCACTGGGTTAAACTCTTGATGATGCTGGGTATTGAATAAAACGTTTAATAGAGATAGTCTATGTTGTAAGGTTATCCTGACAACTTACTATCTTTCTATAGTGTATATATCATGTAAAAGTTAATAGCTTTGTGTAATATTTTGATTTAGAACTGACAATGATCGAACCGTTTCCTGTTTCTTTTAAATAAAAGAGGTATTTGAAGCTTATAAGTTTGATAATTACTTTGACTTGGTTATGTTTATTCGAACTATAAAAATAAGTTTAATAGAATGAAAAAAAGTTTACCAGAGATTTCGCAATTTACTTCATTGTAAAAGCCGTTCATGCTTCTCAAAATTGAAAAAATCGATTACTGTTCATAATTTTAGTTTCACAATCTATACACATAATCAAACTCTATGTACATTTAAAGATATCCAACTTCTCCTACTTGCATTCTCTCTTGTCTTTATTCAAGGGAAACAGATTGAAGTTGAATATGACATCTTGACGCAAAGTAGTTATTGATCTCTCTTTTAATCTATTACTGGATGAGTGAAGGTTGATTCTGCGAAACACTTGATCTCTAGAGGATCGTTTTACCTTTCAAACTTTGTTACCAAGACGTCACGGTTTTCTATACATCAATAGAAATTAGAATAATCAAACTCGAGATATGATCAAAGATATTCAGAAAACCAATTGTTAGATCATTAGCTAATTATTCTGTCTCTGATCGACAAAAATAATCATACTGTTCTGAACAATGTTACCGATTTGTAAACACCAGTTTTGTACAACAAACGCTTTAAAGACATATTCCTGTGCTCGTTAAATGCATTCAAAAAGTACTTTCAGATTCTCTCACTATTTTTTCAACGTTCTGAAAAGTATTATATACTTGTAATGTATCAAGCCGAATTACTTTTGATGGCGAAAAGAATCGAGGCAATTTTTGCAAGTCATGACGTAATTATTTCACATTGTTGATCAAGAAACAACTATAGTCTGCAGAGAACGTTGCAGAACAAGATCTACTTATCCAAAATGACTTTCTTTTCTATGGGCTGGAAAGCCCGTTTTTACAGAACATGGTCCGTCCAAGCACTGTTCAAACTCGTGGCAATTCCAGTTCTTATATTTGAAGCCCATATACACTTAGGAACAAGACCAATTTCTGTAGTTTCTAATTCCTCTTCGCTAACTAAAAAATATATCCTAGCACAAACCAGTATATAGGACGATAAAAGCCCGTTTCAAAATAGGTACTTCCCAGTTTGCAACGCATTACCCTTCCCAAGAATCGTACCATACACCAGACTATACTTGAACAAGGTACCTCCATTACAGGAACTGTTTGTTATTGTCAGTTAGCAACACCATAAACTGCCACTGTAACAAAATTTAAATGCTCCTCGCCTATGGGTTTCTGCATAAATTTTCCAACTTAACTCGCCCAATGAAGTCGTCACTAGGGTGCTCATCCACAACTCATAGTGGCGTCTCAAACTTCTTTAGTTTTCGCTTATTAAAAACTTTAACTCTTTTCAGACAAAGACCATCAGCAAATCAGCATACAAAACACATCCAACACAAATAAAGACGCTTATGATCGTCTTGGTGCTGCTTATGCTGCTCGCGCTGCTCGTGCTCGTGCTCATGCTTATACTACTCAGTATCGTGATGATGCTGATGCTTATGATGCTTATGCTCGTGCTTATTATGCTGATGCTGTAGACCGGGATGGTAACTCCTTATAGGAAGCAATGAAATACGTTTTGGATGGAAAAGTTTTTTCTTTTTTAAAAGGTTCGAAAGTGCAAAAATAAATTAACTCAGAAAATGTAAAGTTGTGCGGGAATATGCAATTGTAATAAAAGTGTTTAATTGATATTAACAGCAACAACAAAATATATTAAACATCGAATATCGGGAATAGAGTAGCGATAAAGAGAATTACGAATATTGTCAATATGTTCTTCACTACTGCAAATTACTGTTTGATGAATATTTGAGTTTGTGATATTTCTTGTTGTAATATATATCATATAGAATTATTTGTTGAACTGGGTTACATTTCAGATGGAGTTAAATGCATGTGGTTGTTCACTGCGGAGTCTTCTGTTCATTTTGAGATTGGCTTTTGTACACATACTATTTACAAGGTTCAGTTTTTAACTATTTAGCTAAATATACCTTGAGAGTGTGGGTGAGTGTGGGTGTGGGTATCATGTTTATATCACATTCACACCCACGCCCACACCCAAAAATCGATATAACGGTGTTTTTTTTTCGAGCGTGAATGAGATACAATCGCGGTTCCCGATTGAGCGTTTAAACGCGTTTCTCCAAACTGTTGTCTGCTTGGGAAGAGATAAATGAAAAATGAAAATGATATTTATCATGATGAAACAATTCGAAAATAAATTATAAGTTTCATATTAATATTAATTTTGGAAATTTTTTCAACATTTAAAATTTATAAAATAAATGTAATCATATATATTCAACTTAATAATAATACATTTAAGAAAATCAATCAATATTGTTTTATTTGTATAATTTTAATTAAAGAATGAATATATGTAGAATATAGATGATTCATCATAAGAAAGAATATTAACACGTAGACATATATGATTCAGTAAAGGAAAATAAATAATAAAAATTTATCTTTACTTTCAACAGAACGAATTGAATATAGAAATAAATATTATTTATGATAGAAAATTTGTAATTAAAATCTCTCTAGTTTCTTGATAGATTTTTTGTCAAAATTCTCCAACATATTTTTGATAATTTAATAAATAAAAAGATATTTCATAATTTATCAACTGAATGATATTCATATCGACTTATAAATATTCATTTTTTCGATATTAAAAATCTTAAGAAATGTCATTTTCATCGAATCTGTCTCATCATATCAATATTGGTATGATTTTAACTTTATTATAAATCATATATGAATAATAATATTATTTTTGATCTTTCAATTATTATTATTTCATTAATTTCAATCATCACAGATATTTAGTATGATCATTTTTCTAGAGCTTTTCATAGTCAACCTTTTAAAAAAGAAAAGATCAAACTTCTATTATGTATCGATGCTAAGATATATAAAAAAAACGTTTTAGGATATTCGATTATATACAATACTTTCGTTTTTATGATTAAATTTCATCATATTTTACTTATTTATTTCGATAGTTTTTCTTGTCTAAATCAAATATATAGTTAGAAGAATTTACTGCATACAAGAGAAATTCAAAGTGATGTTTGAAAGGGTAATAATAGTTCGTTGATTTAAAAAGAAAACGCAACTATTTATACGATGGGTAGTGGTTATTTCTTCGATTATTTCCATCTCCGCAGTACAATATATCCTAAGAAAATAACTATGTCATATACTTTTGTTCATAACCTGTAGATAACACATTTCGATAGAAGTTAAAAGAGCAGAAGAAAAACGAATTATAATAACGAAAAGGAAAAAATAAGATACGATCATATATGAAAGAAAAGAGAAGAATACTGGAAGAAAATACCATGTGACCATATAATGTGATTAACGTAGCGAAAGAATAAATAGTTTATTTCTTTGCTTACAAGTGGTATAGACTGAATTCTTCTTCATATCAAAATAATTACAAAGTATCACAAGTTTGAAATTTCAATTCTTTGAAATAGTTTCATATTGGTAAGTGAATCTTTTAAAATAATGTAAAAAATAAGTAAAAAAGAATATTACATAATAAATACCTTGAGAATGAGAGTGATGATAAGAACAGTGTAAGACTGATGAGCGCAATCTGTGTTTAATCTTCAACTCCATCAAAATATTCTTTCAATGAAAAAACATCACTAAGATTGTTTCAATTTCTTCTACTGCGGAACAATGTTTTTAATGTCATCGAGTTATTAACTTAATCTGTCTATAGAAGTAAATATTCGTTTCTTTTAAAAATTTCTAGTCAAAGACGTGGTAATGGCAAATAACAAAACACAATGTTTTACATGTACTAAAGATAAAATAACATATCCCTGTGAAGGATGTTCGCAAAGATTTTGTTTAATTGATTTAGTAGAACATCGTCAAATATTAAACAATGAATTACATCATATCACCAATGAATATAATCAATTTAAACAAACAATTAATGAACAAAAACAGAGTCCACAAAATCATACATTAATGAACCAAATTAATCAATGGGAAATAAAATCAATTAAAAAAATTCAACAAAAAGCACAAGAGTATCGAGAAATCCTCACTAAATCATCACAAACATGTATTAGTGATATTCAAATGAGATTTAATGATTTACGTGAACAAATAAAACAATTTCAAAAAGAAAATGAATTTAATGAAATGAATTTAAATTATTTAAGGAATCAATTAAAAAAAATTACAAAAGAATTAAATAATTCATCAATCATGTCTATTCAACAAAATTCACAACCGCTCATAAATCATATTTCATTCATTTTACCAAGAAGTAAGTTATTAAGAAATAATTTCTGGAAGGATAATTCTTATTTTCGATGAATTTATTTTAAAAAACTATAAAAATAAAAAAAGTGATAACGATGAAGATAAAAACAAAATTGAATCATTTTCAAATTTTTATTTAAGGAAAAATAAATGAACAAAATCTTTTTCTTCTTCTTCTTTTCATCAAAATCTTTTGTTCTCATTATTTTCTAGAATCAAAGTTCAACGAATGGAAACAAAATGCCATCACTGTGGCTGGTGGAATTAGAGAAGGACAAGAATTAAATCAACTTAATAACCCTCTTGGAATGTTTATTGATAAAAACAAAAATATTTTCATAGCTGATTATGCAAATCATCGTATAGTTGAATGGAAATATCTTGCAAGAGAAGGACAAATCATTACAGGTGGAAATGGACAAGGAAATCGAATGAATCAACTGAATTGCCCAACAGATGTAATTATTGATCCACAAAATCATTCGATCATCATCGCCGATTCTGGGAACAAGCGAGTGATTCAATGGATGAATCGAAAGCAACAAATTCTTATTCACAATATTGATTGTTCTCGCTTGGCAATGGATAAAAATGGATTTCTTTATGTTTCTGACTGGAAGAAGAATGAAGTGAGACGATGGAAAATGGGTGAATACAACAATGAAGGAATTATAGTAGCAGGTGGAAATGGATACGGAAATCATCTCAATCAACTCAATTGTCCTACTTTTATCTTTGTTGATGAAGATCAATCTGTTTATGTATCAGATACGCACAATAATCGTGTTATAAAATGGCGAAAAGGTGCAAAAGAAGGAAGAATTGTGGCTGGAGGAAATGGTCACGGAAGAAATCGGAATCAATTGTCTTATCCTGCAGGAGTAATTGTTGATGATTTAGGTCAAATCTATGTGGTAGATTGTGGAAATAATCGAATAATATGTTGGTGTGAAGGAAAAGAAGAAGGTGAAATTGTTGTTGGTGGAAATGGCGAAGGAAGCCAATCAAATCAATTGAAGTCTCCCCGTGGTTTATCATTTGATGATGAAGGAAATCTTTATGTTGCTGATCATCGGAATCATCGAATTCAAAAATTAGTAACAGTTTTGTAAATGAAAGTTTAGTTTTGAAAAAAAGATAAAAAAAATTTTTATTAAATAAATAATCGAGAAACAAAAGAAAAAATAAAATTTTATTATTAAAAATCAATGAATAAAATTGAATAAATTTTTGATAAGAAAATAACGACGAAAAATTGTTTTGGTTTCTTTTATCAACCTTGAAATTTAATCGGTAATTTCTGGGTGTGGGTGTGACTGTGAGTGTAAATTTGGTTGTGAATTAAGAGTATAGATAATCATACCCACAACCATATCTACCCAGACTCGCACCCGCCCAGACTCACACCTACCCACACACATCTACCCAGACTCACATCTACCCACACCCTCATGTTATCATCAATAATGTGATAGGATAAATAATATTAACTGATTTGTATATGAAAAACTTGTCCAAGCAGCTGCTTATGCTATTGAATATATGGGACGATTGAATAATTTAGAAAAATGGCTTTATTCACAAGGTAGTCCAAAGAATAATTAATAACAATAGTATAAATCTACAATGATCCTGATCTTTTCTGAATTGATTTATTTCACATAAAATTACAACAAGTTTTTATTCATATTTGATTTGATTTTGTATGTTTGCCTAAATAGAATTTTGAAAAAAGAGAGGAGACATTACTGAACAAAATTGTTGTCCGTTAAAGTGTAATTAAATGTTTATTGACGTTATTATTCTGTCAATAAGATGCCGTTAGTTGAAAAAACAAATGTTTTGAAATAAAAGTCTCAGACTATTGATATTTATAATTTTTCATAATCAACTAACTTGTAAGAAACAGTCTAGTATGTTTGATTAAGAAATTTATTTACGGGACTAAGATTTTTGTCCAATATTATCTTATTTACTTTTCTACATAAATAATAGTGCAAATGTTGACATATGTATTTTACTAGAAAAAGTCTCTTTTAAAATCGAGTGAACATTTCATTACAACAACATCAAATAAAATATGTATATGATTTTGATTTATTTACTTTTTCCTATGATAAATTCTCTTGTAACCGTTGAACTTTATCGAAAATCGATTTATCAATCGAATATTTCCTGTTCTTTTATTGTTAACAATTCACTATCCAAGTACTCATCGATTGACGAATGTATTCGTACATGTGTTAATGAGTATTATTGTCAAACAGCAATTTATTTCAAAAATGAAAATATTTGTTCAATGTTTGCAGAACCTTGTAACAAAGATTCAATAAAATCATCGGAGAATACTACTGCAATTGTTATTTGTTACAAAAACAATCATCGTAAGATATGCATCTTTTGTGGAATAAAATAGATGAAGCTATGTGATTTTTTTTTCTTAGAACTTATTCCAACATGTTCTTCAACTGTAAATCAAGAAACAACATCAATTTCAAGTGTGGTAACGAGCCCGATACAAGGTGTGATTTTCTTATTTCTTTGAGTGTCGAATTTACTGAAATCTTGTTTCTTTTAGGTGCCGCATCAACAACGGCAACAACAACAACTACAACAAAAAAAACAAGAACAAAAAGAACGACAACAACAACAACAACAACAAGTTAGTAATATGCTAGATAATTTTAGCGTGAGAGTGTAGAATAGTTAGTGTATGTACACCTACACCACACCCTCAGCTATGTTCGGAAACGCTAACTTGTGTAAACTGCACAGCCTGAGAGATGAAATATTTGTGGGTGTGCGTGTGTCACACTCTACCGATACCTACGCCCACACTCAGAACTATGACTAGTAAAATTATATTTATTTCTTTGAGGTTTTTGGTTATCTGTTGTAATTACTTTTAGCTCCTGGCTGCCATACATGTTCTGGATCGAGTTATACAAATTCCTGCTCTGGATGTTCAACTTCAAGTGCTGGCTGTGAGATCAGTTGTATCGGCTGTGGCGGTAGTGGCGGATCAACGTATTCATTAATAACACTTTCACCGGGTTCTGGTAATGGTTGTTTCGTCGAAAATGTGAACGGACAACTTCAATGTACTAGTTATTGCACTTAAAAGCGATTTACTTTTATTGTTTATATATCAGCACACTCTAATTTCATATGAACAATTAATGCTTTTAGAAACTTAGAACAAAGAAAAAATATCTGCAGTATACTACGACAAAATGACAAGCTTTTTCCTCATCATTTCACGCTGAATTAACTATTTTCAGGGTGTGGATGAATACAAGACTATGTCACACCTGCTCTTCAAATTAGTATTCATTTTGATATATTTAGATTTGTCTTCTCGTTAAGATCATAGTTTGAGTGAAGGATTAGATTTATGTTTGGTAAATATTTTTAAGCGAACGTTTGGTTTCACATTTCATATAAGGTATGGATTTGAGCTAGTATTGATTTTAAACGGCTGGATGAATGAGAATAAGAATGAAATAAATGCATTAGTGAGGCACTGTTCCAACGAGCTATCTATATCCCCATGCTGCACCTATTTTCATACATATCCGGACTCTCATTTATATCCATATA